AAAATAAAATCTGTCACTACCTCCATTTCTTCCCCATCTATTTGCCAGGAATTGAGAGGGCCCATGCCATGATCTTAGTTTTCTTAATGTTGAGTTTCAAGCCAACTTTTGTGCCAAACATAAGTACTTCTCAAAAAAGCAAACGGTTCCAGTAAGATCAGGGTGGTCTCTCCAGGAGATATTACCACCACTTGAAAACATAGCTTGAAGCTAAAGTCTTAGGTATTAAGCAGACGTTGATTAAAAGGTTACTATGAGATTTCTGTATCCACGGAAGAGTTGATTATGATCTCCTGCATTTCTCAGGATTCTCTTCCTGTATTTTTATGTTGCTGTTGCTGTGACAGAAGATAACATTGAGCTAAATAGTTTACAAACTGGTTTTTCCCAGGAGAGAGGAAAATTGAACACAAGCTTTCTTTGCAGAAAGTCTCATATTTAATTCCTGTCAGCCATACTTAACATGTATTTGCTTTGTAGGAAGTTAGCACCCACTCCTCTCCTAGGAAAATGAGATATTTTAGGAAATATTAAAAGGGCAGCATATTTCCTTTAAAAGGGAGGCAGAAACTCATCCCCCCCACCTTTGTCAATGGGCCATTAAGGCCTGGGCCAGTCTATTCTACATAACAAAGATCTACCTCCTTCAGGCAGAGCCATAGTAGGAATTGCCCAAAGCCCGTTCATTATATCATAACCCAGCAAGAGTCAACCAAGCCTGGGACTCAAAAAACAGCTTACAAAGTTATGCCTGCATAGCCCCATGGGAGTCTGACAACCAGTCAGAACACAAGCTCAAATTCAAAGCCCAACAGAGGGTATAAAACCCAGGCACTCTCAGCATCTCTGCCCTTTTTCTGCTCAGGATCTCAAGCCATGTGATCCTGTTCATCAATAAACCTTCTTTCCAAGCAACTTCCATGAATCCAGAGTCTTTTTTCCCCACTTGAAACTGAACCCAGATGGACATTTCTTCCAACAGCTTTTTAAGAGTTATGTTTTCACTCTATACATTAACCCCTTTTAATTGATTTGTTGCCTAAATCAAATGAAAAGGTTGTTCCTGCAGTGAGCGTCCATTCACATGCACAAATGCTCCATATCAGCAATTAATCTCATTTTGATATCTATTTCCATTGTGTTTGAGGTCCATACAATAGACAGGTGGAAGAAGTGTGAACAGCTCTTTGTACTCAATATGCAGCTCTTTCAATAGCATTCACTTTCTCCTTTTCCCAGTCTGTCCTCTGCTATCTCCCACTTTGTTTAATGTCAAGGCCAAGATAGGCACAACTGGGTAAGGAGAACCAATGGCTTGATTTCATTTAATGCAACTTCATACATTCAGTGACAATCAAAGCTCTTTTAAATCCAGTAAATTTCCACTTATAACAATGGAACGGTCTATGCTTTTCATGCAGAATTGAATGAACGTGTGTTGTATATCTGTGTATGCATCTGAAAGTTGTAGTTTAGGACCACAACCGCTTGTCTTTTTACATCCCATGCTTGAGAGGCTCTGTTTCTCAAGCTTAGAGAAGATGGGATACATAGTGATACCAAAGCACACTCCAAAGAGGTTTTCTGTGGATTGGATGTTTGGAAGAATTACCACATAGAGTTCTGCGAATTGAAGTCCAACTGAAGTCTTAAAGATGCCAAGGTTTGAGAAACACTGGTTTAAAGCAACCCAGAGTGACTTAGACTGCTTTTGCACCAAGCACCATATGCCAGGATTTTCAGTCCAGGGAGAAGCAAGGGTTGGAGTAGATTAATAGTGAGAAGTAGAGCCTCTCTTTCTGACATAGACACTCACTTAGAAGAAGTCACTTTGTGGTGGATGAGTAACAATATTGGATTCCGTCAAGAAATAAAAAGTGGGGTGAGAGTGGGCATTTCAAGGTCTTTGACTGCCTCGTCCATTTCTGAAATATGAAAATAAAATGGTCTTTTTGCAATCTTCTTATTGCTCACCGCTTTCTAAGAGCTGTATTCACAGAAAGATCTGCATCATGCATTCCGTCAAATCCAGATTTAGCATGCAGCTACCACTTGTCTGAGTCTAGCTGTTGAAACAGTATTTTTAAATGACTAATGGTATTGGCATCTCTCTGTGTGTGTTTTGTGTGTGTTTATTGAGGTACTAGAGCAGTGTGTTTCAGCCTTGATCATTTTAAGGTCAGTGGACTTCAACTCCCAGAATTTCCTCTTCAATTCTGGGAGTTGATGTTCACGGATCTTAAAGCTGTCAAGACTGACAAACATGTATAGTAGAGTCTATTGGTTGAGCCAAATCCTGATTCCAGAAGTCCTGTTGTCATTGGATTGTTTCATTTCAAAAGAAACCTTCTAAGAGCCAGGACTTCTCTGTCTGGGACTTCATCTTTCCCACTCTCATTCTCAATGGTTAAGTATGTATTGGTGTGTAAAACTGATGAGATAAGGAAGGCTCCCAACAAAAGGGATCTGATCAAAAGTAGGTAACTATCGCTGGAACCTATGGTGAAAAAAGTAGGGTTATTCTATAAGTCCTGTACTGTAACACATAAAAGCTAGTTGGAGTTTCAATTGCACCATGGTGATTTCTTTCTACCATTCTCTTGCCTCGGTGTAAATAAAGATAAGGAATCTCTGGGAAGCACTTTATTTTGTACTATATATTTTAGTACATTAAGATTTATCCAAGGTGTAGAGATAAGCTACTTTACAATAGCATACAGCCCCGAATAGGAAAAGACTGCAGAACAGTGTGTGAAAAGGTACAATATATGCAACTTAGTTCAAACTGGCTGATAAAGTAAGATTTACAGAGTGGAACTGAGAAACTGATCAATTCATTAAAAACTGGAATTTATTCCTAGGCTCTAAAGGGTAGTGTTATCTGGAGCAAGTTTGATTTTGTGACTCTTGAGGAAATGGATAAGGTCTTCCAATCGGTGATCTGAGCCATTTCTCTATTAAGTGCAGGTCTTTCTTGCATGATTAAAGCCACCCAGAAAGTGTTTTACATTGGATCCAGATAAGTGGTGGGATTCAAATTTTTTTACTACCGGTTCTGTGGGCGTGGCTTGGTGGGCATGGCATGACTTGGTGGGCGTGGCAGGTGAAAGATACTGTAAAATCTCCATTCCCTCCCCACTCCAGGGGAAGGATACTGCAAAATCCCCATTTCCTCCTGATCAGCTGGGACTCGGGAGGCAGAGAATAGATGGGGGTGGGACCAGTCAGAGGTGGTATTCACCAGTTCTCCAAACTACTCATAATTTCCACTACCGGTTCTCCAGAACTGGTCAGAACCTGCTGAATACCACCTCTAATCCATAAAATATATTTACTCCTTGGTTTGAGGGATGGTGCTCTCGTTCTTTACTTACCCCTAGTTAGTACTAACCTATTCAACCTAACCATTCTGGGACAATTTCAGTCCAGTCTCCAACCTTCCCTTTCTAGAGAAGGTACTGGAGGAGATGGTTGGGCTTCCTTGGAAGAAACCAAATATCAATATCATTTCGGGTTTCATTTGGAGACAGCATTGGTTTATTTATTAAGTCTGTATGCCACCCACCTCCCTACCAAGTTAGTCTGGGCATCTTACAATACCATAAAAAACAGATTAAAATAATTACAGGATTAAAGCATTAAAAATTAACAGAATAACAGGGTTGGAAGGGATCTTCAAGGTCTTCTAGTCCAACCCTCCCTGATCAAGCAGGAGATCCTATACCATTTCAGGCTGTCCAGACTCTTCTCAAAAGCCTCCAGCTGTAGGTGATGGAGCACCCACAACTTCTGGAGGCAAGCTGTTCCATTGGTTAATTGTTCTCACCGTTAGGAAAATCAAATGTTATCTGATTTTTTTTTGTTTATAAACAGATGTTATGTTAAGAAAATTACCAGATGTTAAGAGTTAAAGCATTAAAATGGCTGGATTAATTAATGACTTGTGACAGAGCTGAGATTAAGTGGTGAGTCCATCCTGATGTTCTTTGATTTCTCAGCCAGTTTCAATATTTTTGATCACAGCAGCCTTTTGGACCAGCTTCAGGGGTTGGGAATGGGAGGCACCATTTTGTGGTAATTATTATCCTCCTTTCCCTGAGGCCAGTTTTAATTGTGGTTGACAGGGAGAAATGTTATACCCGGAGTCCAACAGTGTGGAGTGCCACAGGCTTAAAACTCTTGTTTAACATCTATAGGACACCACTGGGTGATGTCATCTATCAGTTTGGGGTCAAAATCTCATCAGTGTACATTGAGTCTCTTGAGCGCAACCAATCTGCACAAATGAAGAAGCAATCCATAACGTTTAGACATCTCAGTTGTATCATTTCATCAGCCAGTAGTTGCAGCTCAGTGTTCTGCCCCAGCTACGGACCCCAAAGAATGCAGCACACACAAAGTCTGTACAAACCTTAGTTTACTAAATTAAACCAGTCTTTTACAACAGCGTCTGTTAATTAACTGCATTAACAGCAGCCAAGAATTCAAAGAATAATAACTGAAAGCTTATTGTGTGTGGCAGAATGCCCAGAAGCAATTTGCAGGAACCTGATAAGATAAGCAAGACCAAGACACGAAGGTATGTGAACGAAGTTGTTCCCTGCAAATTGCTTCAGTCGGTGTTCTTCCTTAAATAGGCTAAGGGAGTGGCCAATTAGCCCCAAGCCTTACTCTCGAGGAGACCTCCTCCTGAGGAGCCACTCCTGCCTTTTGGCAGCTCTGCACGCCCGTTTATCGAGAAGAGGCTCCTCCTTTTCATCCTCTTCACTTAAGGGAGCTTCTGGAGGTTCTGAAGGTCCTGGTTGAATCCCCACCTCTGGCACCACATCTTCTCCAGCCTCCTCATTGTCAGACTCGAGTGCCAGCTGCACAGGCTGTTGGCGCAGCACCACACCAGCCTCCTCGCTGTTGGAATCAGATACAAGCTGCACAGGCCGCTGACGGGCCACAACACTCAGGAGGTTCATGTGACCCTAATTATTCCTATATTTCTTCCCTAGGAAGCCTCATGTGCCTATGTGCTGATCGTCACAGCGATATATTGGGTATCCGAAGCAGTGCCCCTTGGAGCAGCAGCCCTTGTTCCTGCTTTTCTCTATCCACTCTTTGGTGTCATGAAGTCCAGTGAGGTCAGAACTGTGTACTTTTTCCTTCCTTCATTCCAGGGATAACATCAAGTATCCAAGAATCACACTTGACTCCTGGACCACCATGTCATTTTCTTAGCTTGCCATGCTTTCCTTTGGGATATTTTTTCAACTTCCTAGTTTGGTGTCGATCCCAGTGATTTTTCCCATTTAACTATGAATCAGGTCTGACTCTGCTTAGCTTTTGGGAATCAGCAACAATTGGCTAAATTAATTCACCCCGGTAGATACATCATTTCATGAATTTATAGTTCGTGATTGGTGGCCAGCTTTGAACTTTTAAAAATACATAACCAACTTACTACCTGCTGAAATACCCTCATTTCAATCTTTTTTTTAAAACACAAACAATGTTTCTTAGGGTTTGTTTGTTATAAAGCTGTACATCTCCACCCCAGACCATCCCAACGATGCCTTGGAAGTGATGTCCCAGTGCCTGGAGGCCGTGTGGGTCTGGATGGGGAGAAACAGGCTTCGACTCAACCCTTCCAAGACCGAGTGGCTGTGGCTGCCGGCGTCCCGGTATAGCCAGCTGACGCCATCGCTGGTTATTGGGGGCGAATCATTGGCCCCCACGGAAGGGGCCCGCAACTTGGGCGTCCTCCTGGACGCACGGCTGTCTTTAGAAGGGCATATGACGGCCGTGGCCAGGGGGGCTTTTTATCAGGTTCGCCTGATACGCCAGTTGCGTCCCTTTCTGGATCGGGACTCCCTATGCACAGTCACTCAAGCACTCGTCACCTCTCGTCTGGACTATTGTAACGCTCTCTACATGGGGCTCCCCTTGGGGTACACCAGGAGGCTCCAACTGGTGCAGAATGCGGCCGCGCGGGGGATTATGGGAGCGACTGGGCGCTCCCATGTGACTCCTCTCCTGCGCGAGCTGCATTGGCTTCCGGTGGACTTCCGGGTGTGCTTCAAGGTGTTGGTGATCACCTTTAAAGCGCTCCATGGCTTAGGGCCAGGGTACTTACGGGACCGCCTTCTGCCACCGGCCAGTTCGCTCCCACAGAGAGGGCCTCCTCAGGGTGCCGTCAGCTAGACAATGCCGGCTGGCGACCCCCAGGAGGAGAGCCTTCTCTGTGGTGGCACCTACCCTTTGGAACAATCTACCCCCAGAGATACGAGTGATCTCCGACCTCCGGACTTTTCGTCGGGCCCTAAAAACTCATCTCTTTCAGTTAGCCGGTCTCTCTTGATTTTATGATTTTATGGTTGGTTTTAAATTTTGATATGGATTTTAAATTGATAAATTTTAATCTATGGGCCAAATTTAATTATTTTAAATCTATTTTTAATCGTACTTATGTATAAATGTTTTTTATTTTGGCTGTTCACCGCCCTGAGTCCGAAAGGAGAAGGGCGGTATAGAAATTCGAATAATAAATAAATAAATAAATAAATAAATAAATAAATAAATAAATAAATAAATAAATAAAATGCAACAAAGAATGCTTTAACCAGTAATGTATAGAGCAGGGGTGTCAAACTCAAGGCCACGGGGCAGAACCCGGCCTGTGGGCTGCTTAGATCTGGCCCATGGGGCCACCCTGGAAACAGCGAAGGACCGGTGCTTATACCAGGGAAAATGGAGCTTGCGAGGGCCACATGCAGCTCTGCTTTCGCTAGCAGAGGGTTGCAGGAGGCCGTCACAGCCGAAAATGGAGCTCAGGACCCCGTTTTCACTGGCAAAGTACTTGAGCCGCCACAGGCACCCTGACATAAGTGATGTCGAGCTGGCCATGCCCACCCTGGGCCCCTAAAGTCAAACACAACCCTGATGTGGCCCACAATGAAATCAAGTTTAACACCCCTGGTATAGAGGCAAGCTCTTTTCCCTTTTTCCTTTTTATTCTGTTAGGTTTTAGAACCTGCAGCTAATTTAATAGAGGACTCACCGAGACCCGGCACCATTTGTGAAAACAGAGCTGCCTTTAAAGTGGGATTATTTCAGCTATCATAATACTGGATAACATCATGCAGATTTCATTTTTTTAAAAAACAAATCGTATCTGCCTGTATGGCTAGTAAATATTCATTGCACAGTTAATATCTAGCTCATTTCTAACACTCCTAAACATGAACATTGAAGAATCTCAAAGCAGTGACATGACCCGTGTGAGTCTCTATGGCAAATAAGTCCTTCTTTGTCCAGGAATACTTGCAGAGTGGAAAAAGATTCACTTGATAAACACTGGATTTCCTGCAATGAGAGATGAATGTGGAATCCGTGTCTGTCATACCTTGTTCATTCCCCCTAGTCATTCCCTGATGAACTTGCATCATCGAGTCTCATTCTCAGATCTAATTATTGGTACTTATATAGTTCAAGGTAGCATCCTGTTGGTACAAAGAGAGACGGAATAATGAGTAATCAGAGAGCTGCCTCTTCTGTCTCTCCAAAGGTATCATAATATTAGATATTGAATTGGAATGCCATATGCTGTTTTAGGAATGCAGCATTTCTAAGTTACACATTTCACTGAATTCCATAGGGGCTGCCTAGTTCATATTTAACAGAATAACAGAGTTGGAAGAGACCTTGGAGGTCTCAAACCCCCTGTTCAGGCAGCAAGCCCAGTGGTGGGTTCCTCCCGGTTCCGCCCGGTTCCGCCGAGCCGGTAGCGGTGACGATATGACATCATCGAATCGGTTTTGCCCCCCCGCCCCCTCCCCCTGCATTATTCTTACCTTTTATTTGGCCCCACCCCCAATCTATTGCTGCCTCCTGAGTCCCAGCTGATGGCTAGAGGGAAAAAAACTGTTTACATTCTTGCCATGGGGCTTCAAAGGGCCACCCTACAGCTGATCAGTGTTAAAAGAAAACAAATGAGTAGACCGGTGCCTCCAAAAACAAATGAGTAGACCGGTACAGCTCTGCAAGCAGTTAAAAGCCTGGTAGACCAGTACCTCTGTTAAATCCTAAAGAATTGTCACATGACCATCAAGCCACACCCACAAAATAAGCCACACCCACAGAACCAGTAGTAAAAATTTTTAGAATCCACCCCTGAGCAAGCCCTATACCATTTCAGACCTAGGGCATTTTATGAGGAAAGCTTTCAATCTAAAACATGCAACCCAAAGGGAAAAAAACAAATGTAGGCATCAATTTTTAAAGTAAAATGGTGGTTAAATATCTGTGGAGATTTTCAATCATCCAGATCATAGTTGTCTCAAAGGTGCTTTTTTTCTTCAAAAAGCAACTGGGCTTGTTGTTGTTGAGAAAGAAGAAGAAAATGTTTTGCTTTTCATGCAAGAAACTTCATCAGTTCTGCTGGGTGGGGACGAGATGGAAGGATAGGTTCTGATAAGATGAGGGGGGGGGGTCAAAGGATTGTATTTCTTTGCAGGCATCTGGTCCAGTGGTGAGTTTCAAAAATTTTTACTACCAGTTCTGTGGGTGTGGTTTGGTGGGCATGGCATGACATGGCATGGCGTGGCTTGGTGGGCGTGGCAGGGGAAGGATACTGTAAAATCTCCATTCTCTCCCCAATCCAGGGGAAGGCTACTGCAAAATCCCCATTTCCTCCCGATCAGCTGGGATTTGGGAGGCAGAGAATAGATGGAGGCGGGGCTAGTCAGGAATTTTTTCTACCGGTTCTCCGAACTACTCAAAATTTCCGCTACCGGTTCTCCAGAACTGGTCAGAACCTGCTGAAACCCACCTCTGATCTGGTTGTTAGCACTCTCTCTGAGAGCTGTTGAGACCACTTAAGGGTTTATTTGTGCCCTCAAGTGGTATTCACTTACCTTCACTACTGGTTTGCAAATGTGAGCGCGTGCCCAGAGCATCAAAAATGAGACATGATGATGTCCAGGCAGATGGGCGGAGCTTCCCGCAGCTGCCGCTACAGGCTCGCCTGAACTGGTTAGAACCGGCTAAATACCACCACTGCCTCAGGGGCACCTGAAGCAGGGTACAATTGGTTCTGCAATCTTCTTGGGCCTGCTGCAAGGGCTGTGTTGTAAATTGGAGATAAGCGGTGTCTTATTCTTGGATGAGAAACAAAACGTTTTCTTCCTCCTCAAAGGGGGGAAAAGAACCATTCCAGCTGTCTTTTGAAGAAAGAAAGCACCTTCAAAATGGTGGTTCTTATACCCTGACCAGCTGGAAACTGTTGAGCAAGCCGCCTGACAGGAGAAAGAGAAAATACTGTTGAGAAACCAGCTTGACAATTGATAGCAGTGTGACAGAATAACATGTCTTTCAAATTCCCTCAACATAGATGTATTTGAATGGCTGCAGCAGAGATAGTTCACCCATTACCAGCAATGGTGTAAGAAATACTGCCTTGTGACACCTCCAACGTTGCTTCTCATATTTCTCGGAATGAAATGCAGGCGTTGCTTTAGGGAGTAGGGAAATCATCTAAAGTGATATAGGAACTGTCACATTATAGTACTGCAGCTCCACATGTCACTGCTGATGAAATATAAATTAGCCTTTAGCTTGAGTATATATTTATCTTTGTACTAACTCTTCCCAAAACAAATTAGTAACACTGGGATGTCCCTGGTTTAAGAGGAACAGAGTTAAGTTACTCTGGCACATTTATTTATGCAATTATTTATAGGCCCACTTTAACAAAGGACTCCAGGCAGTTTATAACCAAGGCCAGGTAAAAACAACGATTTACCTAACCTCATCTAGCGAACCCTGCAGCCTGCAAAACAAATCTTCAGATCTTTTCAAAGTGCTTTCTAAATCTTCTTTGAAACCATACTGTAATTTTTCTCCCCAGTAGGGCAAAACCTGCTGACATTTCCACACAGGGTCTTTGGTTTTTAAGAATATGAGCCTTTGTTTCAGCCACCCTCTGAAGGGATAAAATGGAATAAGCAAGGTTTTGTGCTGTTAAGGGACTTTCTTTTCTATTCTTAAATTGAATTCTTCCACTTAAAAAAAAATCTGCATGGATTACTGTGAAGTGCAGGGCAAGAGCTGGGACTTAAGAAAAGGAAAAAGGACTAATGGAAATAAGCAACAACAAAGAAAAGTTTAACCAAGATAGTTGTGTGGCACTTTGGAAACATCCATTGGGAGTTATTTAGCAAATAAGGAGACTTGGCTATTTATCTTAAGACTGGAATCTTGCTAGAACCTCCAAGGCAGTGGTGGTATTGAGCTGGTTCTATCCGGTTCGGGCGAATCAGTAGCGGCGGCGGCGGGACGATGCTCCGCCCACCCACCCAGGCATCATCATGTCCCGTTTTTGATGTTTTGCACGTGTGCAGAAGGTCCTGTGCATGCACAGAAGTGGTGCATGCAAGTGAAGCAAGCATGTGCGCTCACATTTGCAAAACGGTAGTAAAGGTAAGTAAATACCACCCCTGCTCCAAGGAGAACCCAAGCTAAAATATTTAAAAATGTTAAAATTAGATATCAGATTTAAAAACCATTTCCTCTTCAAAGCTTTCAAAATAAAATAAATATTTCAAAATCTGGTATAACGTTAATAAAATCTACAACAGGATTGGACCTATAAATAAAGGGAATTTCATAGTGGATGGATGTACTAGTTGTTTCAAAATGACATGGATGGCAAATAAATTTAATAGACAGGTAGACAGACACTAAGAAAGATCTATTCCATGCTCTGCACATAAACTTCAACCAAATGTTATTTTATATGAGTCTCTGGGAATCTCAAAGTTCGCTCCCACAGAGAGGAACTCCTCAGGGTGCTGTCAGCCAGGCAATGTCAGCTGGCGACCCCCAGGGGGAAGGCCTTCTCTGTGGAAGCACCTGCTCTCTGGAACGACCTGCCCCCGGAGATACCTAGGATACCAGATCTCCGTGCTCTTCACCGTGCCCTCAAAACTTTCCTATTTCATCAAGCTGGGCTGGCGTAACCCCCCCACCACACACACACATACTTTAGATATTTTTAATTGTAAATGGATTTTAGTTGGGAGGTTTTAAATTTTGGGCCAAAATTTGTTTAATTCTTTTAAAATTTTAAATTTTGTATTGGGGTGTTTTTTATTCTAGGTTGTGCACCACCCTCAGTCCAGCAGGAGAAGGGCGGTATAAAAATTTAATAAAATAAATAGATAAATAAATCTTTTTTTTTTTTATTGGAGAAGAGCAACGGTGTTTTTCGTAATTTGAGAGAAGCAAATTACGTGGTGCCATTTCCTTAACATCATTGGTCTTCTCCAATAAAAAACAAGATTTAAGATTTGAACCAGGATCATGATACGGTTTCAGGAGCGAATCTCTGGTGCTCACAGACATAGTTAGAAGTGGGGATTCGGTGTTCTTCCCCAGGAATGCATCGAAATATGGAAATTAAATAGACCCAATTTCTAGGTGACTGTAAATAATATGTACCTTATTTACTCTGTCTACCCACCAACTCCAATTGTCCCATAGGTAGCTGCTGAGTATGTCAAGAACACCACCTTGCTTCTCATTGGGGTTATCTGTGTGGCAGCTTCTGTTGAAAAGTGGAATTTGCACAAACGGATTGCCTTGCGCATGGTTATGATGGCTGGAGCAAAACCAGGCATGTGAGTGAATCAGCTTTCTTTGGTGATGGTGTTCTAACCTAGGCCTCTCAAGGTCATGAAGCAGACTCCTCCTCCCGATAAAACCTCTTTAATTTAGATTAAAGGGAATTTCTCTCCAGCAAAGTCCCAGCAAACAGTCTTTCACAACTACAGACCTTTATCAGGCTTGGAGAGTGGCCAGGCTGATATCTTCCAAATGCCACTCTGTAGCAGACAGTACTTGGCAAGAAGTCAGGAACAGATCTTCACCCTAATGAATTGAACTAATTGTGTCCTGCAAACTCTCCTCCCCCACGTTCCTCTTTATTCCCTATGGGACGCTCATTCACCGTCCACCTGTGCCTTTACTCCCAAGTCGGTCCTTGTTCCTTAGCTGTTTCCCTCTCCTGGCAGTTCTGCACACGCGCACATCAGGAACAGGCTCCAGCTGTTCTTCTGCCCCACTGATATTCTACTCCAAAGGCAGCTGATAACTTCAGATGGCCCTGGCCCCATTTCTGCCTCCTACTCAGAGCACTCATCAGAGCTTTCCCCAGACTCCAGGACTGGCCTGTGTTCTTCCCTAACCTCCTCACTGTCTGAGTCTGCCACCAGCTCCGCTGGCCGCTGGTGGGCCACAACAGATGGTCTTTAGCCAGTCAGTGGTCTGCAACAAGAGAATAGCCAACTGATAAAATGTGCAATAAACATTTGATAAGTGCATAATAAGGACATTTTAAAGATACAGGTAGTCCTCGACTTACGACCACACAATTGAGCTCGACATTTCTCTTGCTTGGCGAGACATTTGTTAAGTGAGTTTTGCTCCGTTTTATGAACTTTCTTGACACAGTTGTTCAGTGAATCACTGCAGTTGTTAAGTTAGTAACATGGTTGTTAAGTGACTCTGGCTTCCACATTGCTTGCCAGAAGGTTGACTCAGCCTTCCATTCTTTCTAAGTAGGTAAAATGAGGACCCAGATTGGGGGGCAATAAGCTGACTTTGTATAAAATATACAAAAGTATGAAGGCTATTGCTTAACGCATTGTAAACCGCCCTGAGTCTCCGGAGAAGGGCGGCATATAAATAAATTAAAAAAAGTCACAAAAGATGATGACAGGACCCCGGGACACTGCAACCGTCATAGCTATGAGTCAGTTGCCTGTTGTCTGAGTGTTGATCATGTGACCGTAAGGATGCTAAATTGGCTGTAAGTATGAAAAAAGAGCATAAGTCATTTTTTTCAGTGCTGTTGTAACTTTGAACGGTCACTAAATGAATAGAATAGAATAGAATAGAATAGAATAGAATAGAATAGAATAGAATAGAATAGAATAGAATAGAATAGAATTTTTTTTATTGGCCAAGTGTGATTGGACACACAATTTGTCTTGGTGCATATGCTCTCAGTGTACATAAAAGAAAAGTTATGTTCATCAAGAATCATAAGGTACAACACTTAATGATAGTCATAGGGAACAGATAAGCAATCAGGAAACAATATCAATATAAACCGTAAGGATACAAGTATCAAAATTACAGTCATAAGTCATAAGTGGGAGGAGGTGGGTGGTGGGAACAATGAGAAGATTAATAGTAGTGCAGACTTAGTAAATAGTTTGACAGGGTTGAAGGAATTATTTGTTTAGCAGAGTGATGGCGTTCGGGAAAAAACTGTCCTTGTGTCTAGTTGTTCTGGTGTGCAGTGCTGCATAGTCTCGTTTTGAGGGTAGGAGTTGAAACAGTTTATGTCCAGGATGCGAGGGGTCTGTAAATATTTTCACAGCCCTCTTTTTGACTCAAGTCCTCAATGGAAGGTAGCAATTGCTTTTTCTGCAGTTCTAATTATCCTCTGATGTCTCGTGTCTGTCTTGTTGGGTTGCAGAGCCAAACCAGACAGTTATAGAGCTGCAGATGACAGACTCAATAATTCCTCTGTAGAACTGGATCAGCAGCTCCTTGGGCAGTTTGAGCTTTCTGAGATGACTGAACTGTTGTTCAGTTAAGGACTATCTGTATGAATAAGTCCATTACAGTAAAATAAGTTTAGAAATCAGTCTCATCTTTCTCTTCCTACCTATTCTCTTAATGTCTCTTGTCTGTTTACTCTGATGCTTCTGTTTTACTTTTGCAGAGGCTACCAAAGTTTGTTGATTTTATTATAAGTAATGTACATATGGAAATTCCCTTCATCTTCAGCACAGACGATACAAATTGAATCTCCATTGTGGCATAGCAAGAAGTAGAAAACATGATTTAACACCCCCCCCCCCCAAAAAAAGTCAAATTATAAAAATGTGGACTATGAGTTTTTAACTGACACCCAATTGATTCTTCTTTCTTGAACTCTAGGCTGCTTCTTTGCTTCATGTGTTGCACCACTACCTTATCCATGTGGCTTTCCAACACATCCACCACAGCTATGGTGATGCCCATTGTAGAGGCAGTTCTTCAGGAGCTTGTGAAGTCTGAGGAAGATCATGAGATGAATGGCACTGCAGGAAGCACCATCCGGGAAGAGAAAGAGACAATAAGTATGTGATCATCCTCCTTGCTTTTTTAAAAAATTCTTTGAGAGAGAGATGAGCATAGTCCAAGTTGCTATGGCAACTCATGCCTACTCATGTCCTCTGCCTTCACCTAAAAACCTGAAAGGGACTTTTCTTATTATCATAGGGCTAGAAGATATTTTCTAGTCCAATCCACTCCTCAACCCAGTGGTGGGTTTCAATTTTTTTTTACTACCAGTTCTGTGGGTGTGGCTTGGTAGGCATGGCATGGGTTGGTGGGCGTGGCTTGGTGGGCGTGGCATCAGAAGAATATTGTAAAATCTCCATTCCCACCCCATTACAGAGGCAAGATACTCTAAAATCTCCATTCCCACCCCACTCCAGGGGAAGGATACTGTAAAATCTCCATTCCCTCCCCAATCCAGGGGAAGGCTACTGCAAAATCCCCATTTCCTCCCGATCAGCTGGGACTCGGGAGGCAGAGAATACATGGGGGAGGGGCCAGTCAGAGGTGGCATTTACCGGTTCTCCGAACTACTCAAAATTTCCGCTACCGGTTCTCCAGAACTGGTCAGAACCTGCTGAAACCCACCTCTGCCTTATACCCTGCCAGTCAAAAGGTTGTGCAGTCTATTCTTGAAAATCTCCAGGTACAAAGGTGGCTTGAATTTGATCTAGAGGCCTAGCAAACCAAACTCCAGAATGTGCAAAGACCTAGATTTGGATTCCAAGAAAGGCAAACTCAGCTTCTCTTCGGCTTTCCAGCAGGAAACATGGTCAATTGGCCAGAGGAAATAATACATGCCCAATTTTAATTCACAGCTGAATACATAAACAGGACTAAACTGCCTGGAAGAGGTTGTCTGGTTCAGTCCTGGCTCCCCAGGACCCAAATAAGAGGAAGCAAATCAGATAAATGAAGCATATCTGATGAGCAGCTGATTTCAGTTGTTTCACAAATTAGTAACAGATTGAAGGAAAACAAATCAATGCTCCACAATTACAAGATCTTTAATGATCCCCCTTAATTATCATGGAATAGAAGGTTATTAATAGCTTATCAGGAGCTTTAATCAAGGGACGTGGTGGCTCAGTGGCTAAGACACTGAGCTTGTCAATCGAAAGGTCTGCAGTTCAGTGGTTCGAATCCCTAGTGCTGGGGTGAGCTCCTGTTACTTGTCTCAGCTTCTGCCAACCTAGCAGTTCAAAACACGTAAAAAATGCAAGAAGAAAAATAGGGACCACCTTTGGTGGGAAGGTAACAGCATTCCGTGTGCCTTTGGCGTTCAGTCATGCCGGCCACCTGACCACAGAGATGTCTTCGGACAGCGCTGGCTCTTCGGCTTTGAAACCGAGATGAGCACCGCCCCCTAGAGTCGGGAACGACTAGCACATATGTGCAAGGGGAACCTTTACCTTTTAGCTTTAATCAATTTGTGGAGATCAGTGGACACATTTGGAATTTTGGAAGCATATTAGAGGCCCTCTCTAAAAGTGATTTTCAACCATCGTTTTATTTTTTGAGAATATCTCTGAGGTCCATGTGGGGCCCAGAGGCTTTTCAGGCTAATTGAGCAATGCTTGAGACCAGTCTTAATCCTGCCTCCTTTTCTTGTCTCTTTTATTTTAGGTCTCGGTGACAAACATGGTCAAGGCTCCCTGGAGCTCATTTTCATCAACAAGGAGTAAGAATGAAGCCTGTCCAGCTCTAATGGACATTTGAACCCTTTCAGGTCACAATGAGATAACATACCAGGAGCAGAAAATGAGATATTATATCATATCAAGAGAGATTTAGAGATTGAACAGGTTTAAGAGAGGAAAGAATTACATGTGTTGTTTTAATGTTTATGGAAGGAAGGAAGGAAGGAAGGAAGGAAGGAAGGAAGGAAGGAAGGAAGGAAGGAAGGAAGGAAGGAATTTTTCCTCAAGGGATGAGGATAAAGTCAGGCATACTTTGTTACATTGCATATTCTTAAATACTTAAATTGAATATTAAATATTCAATTTAATATTCAGATACTCCTCCCTCCCCCCAAATTCTCTCTAGAATTATCACCAATGGAAAAGAAAATCATCTTGATAATTTCCCACCCCAAGGGAAATTATCCCTTCTTTCTTTGTCCCTGTCATGCTTCCACCATCTTGAATTCCTTCCGCATAGCTCAGAAGTAAACCTAGAACTAGATCAAGCACAGAATTGCATTGGGATGCAAATCTCCAATGACCTCTCTGTAAAATGAGTCAAAGTTGAGGTGCGTTTTTAAAAAGCGAATTTACAAAGAGATTTCTGTAAAGCCTGAGTGTTCTCTTCCAGCACTGCAATGACGTGGGAAGTAACAGCTGCTTATTGGACAGGTGCAAACAGCACAGCTCTTCGCCAAGCCAGCCTTCCACTTTTTGTGAGCTGGAGAAAAGAAAGACAAGAAGCTGTAAACAAAACTGCTCTGGTCTCACCTTTTGTTCTCTCAGGCAGGCATACAAAACACCTGTTTGACCTTCTTACATCACTTGCATGAATTTGAGCATTAGCTTATTGTTTGTTGCAGGAGTGCTGGAATAATAGAATTGGATACAGAGCACCATGATTTCCTGGGAATATATGCTATGGCACACCTATGATTCATTATTAATGTTTGTCCTTTTTTTATTCCCCTTTGTTATCTGTAGTGCTACAACTGCTGATTTCAGCTCTCTGATGCAGTCCAAGGTATTTTTAGAGCATGAATTTATGCTTCAATAACTCTCTACATCTTTCCCAAGGACTATCCCAGGATAGTAAAATAATAATGGAACAATCCTCCCCCCACCTCACTTTGCTGTCCAAAACTAAGCCACATTTTGGGTTTTGTGAGCACAGATGAAAACACAATCTCATAGAATGGAACCATGTCAGATATGGAAGTTATAAAATAATCCAGGAAGCCCACAGTATGTCTTCTAACATCTCTCATTTGTCTTTATTCTGGAGAAGTGGGCATATTTTCACCCCTTTGAAAAACCACTGAATGACAGGCATTCTCCATTTTAGATTCCTATGCATCCTACAAAATGGAGGACACTCACAGAACATTCTTGCAATTTAAAATGATGCTAGAGGTTGCTTCTGTAGGAAGAAATATCCTTCTGGGTTCTGCTCCAAGTGGGGAAAAATGGAGACTGCTTGGAAACATGGAGACTGCTTGGAAAGATAGTTTAATGGTGGACAGGATCACATGGTTTGAGTTCCTGAACAGAAAAAAAGGGCCGAGTTAAAGTGAGTCCCCGGGTTTTATGCACTCTCTGGCTTTGAACTTCCTGGGGCCCCAAAAGAGTATCCTGATTGGTTGTCAGACTCCCAGGGGGTGGGGGTCTTAGCTAGCCTTGCTGGCTGATGTAATCTTCCCAGGTGCCATGTGGTGAGTTTCTGTTGCTATTGTGTGCAGATGGGTCCTATTGTCGAAGATTGAGTTTCTGCCTCTGGCCCATTAACAAAGGTGGGGAGGCAGGAAGGTGGGAGTTGCTTTGTCTTTAAAACATGTTTCTCCATTTCTCAACCAGGGAAACATAATATTCTGCCTTTTTAATATTTCCTAAAATATTTCATTCTTCTAGGAAAGGGGTGGGTGCTAACTTCCTACACTTCCTTGGTTAATAACATGCCCCATTTCATTAAAGTAATCTAGATAATAATATTGGTCTGACCCCACTTTGAGAATTGTGTTCAGTTCTGGGTGCTACATTTTTAAAAGGATTCAGACAAGCTGGAAGAGGTTCAGTGAAGAGTGGGGAGGATGATTGGAGGACAAGAAACTAAACTCTATGGCAGGGGTCAGCAACCTGTATATGATCACTGCTGCCTATTTCAATTCATGTGACTTGACTCCCAGATATTTATACAACCACCTCCCCCAACAAACAAGACTTATTCTGAGTTAATAGGAAATTTCTTCTTCTTTGCAAAACATTTTTTGAATCAAAATCCTTCTTACTAAAATGAGAATGGATAGGAAAATGAATTCCCACGCCCATGGATACTGTTAACTACTATTAACTAGCAATCTCTGTTCTTCTAAATTTCATTACTCAGAAGAAAGTAACAAAAGGAAATGGTTATGAAGCATATGCTGATTTTCCAGAAAAATACCTTCTTTAGATTAAAACTTATTCTTAGTAGATTAGACAATTATTTTAACCAAGTTGCCAAACAATTTAACTTGTGGAAATATTCCTAGAAAAACTTATTTTGGGGGCAGGTGTGTGTGTGATTGAAGAAGATAAAAAGTGATGTTTTCTAATAAAATATTTTTGGTCCCTCAGAACATGAATGGGGTACACATGATAGCCAACACGATCGGATCAATGAATTCCAGAACAAATGGGCAACATCTACCCCAGGTGAGGACCTTATTTTGTGTGGAGACAAACATTTAGTCCAGGTTCATTTACTCTTCATCCTATAAAATTTAGTTTCAGAAATTAGCTAGTCACATCATAGCTTATTTTTGGTATACTATGGCTCAGTGGTGGGTTGTCCCCGGTTTGGACCGGTTCGCAAGAACTGGTAGTAAAACCGGCGGGAGGCTCCTCCCACTGACCCGGATGTTATCATAGGTAATCTGCGCATGTGCAGAAGAGCGCGTGGGTGTGATGCAAACTGTTAGTAAAGGTAAGTAGAACCCACCCCTGCTATGGCTCCAGCTAGCTAAAAATGGAATTAAATTTGGCCTGCTCCAGGAAAAGGATCAGATTCCATCATGCTGCAATTTCATGGTTAACCACAATAATTTCCTATGTATGGTAAGATAATCATCTCCAGATGTTAATTCTTTTTTTTTATTCACACTGTATTGATTTTTTTTTTTTTACACAGATAAAATATAATAGCAATTCTGTTTGACATCGGTTTCACAGTGTTTGTACATATATACATGAAAAAATATCTGGTGTCATTTATACTATACATTTCTAATTAATTTCTACACCTTTTACTCTTCCTTGATTCTATCATTTATCCATTCGTACCATCTTCCCCACACAGTATCATAATCTGAATTTTCATCATTATTTAACTCGTGCGTTAATTTACTTATCTCTGCACACTCTAATATTTTGCTAATTATAAGGTCGTCTGGTGGTAGGTCAATTCTTAATTCTTATAGCAAACTAGATTTCTTGTTTCAGTGCAGTTGGCTACTGTGCTGTCTATTGACTAGGCAGTGTAGCTCTAGATTAATTGTTTTATAAGCAAAAAATGGAGCAAGGAACTCAGTCGCTTGAAGAACAAATAGACCGACTGAAGATAAACATGTTTTTAAAGTTTCTAATCAGAGCGTATTCAATGAGCTGTTAGCCAGTTTGCAAGGCCAGAACAAAATGTAGTTTCAGCTTTCAACTTTTCAACTTTGTATTTAAATATTTTCTTCATAAACAAGGGAAAAAATAATCCTTTCCTTTCATAGAACAACAGCAATCATATTTATCCATTCTTCTCTTCTGTCTGTTAGATATTTTGCTTGTCTCTCTGTTAAAGATATAACACAAAAATATACAAAGAAAGAAACAGCATTCACTGAGTTTTAAAAAATCACCTTGAACAACAAAACAACATAAGCATCAAAAGTTCAAGCAGGACACACTGAAGTAGTAAATACAAGTGAAGACAACTGTCAGTTTATATTCTTCTTGTTGTTGTTCTTGTGCCATATCCGTCATCAGACATTGGCAATCATGTTGGCAATCCTATTTTTGCCAATAGCCGCATGAAAAAGTGCTGCTGAGTTTTGTCCAAACCAGTCCCTTAGGTTTTGAAGCCATGATGTTCTTATTCTGCCTGGACCTCGTTTGCCTTCAATCTTTCCCTGGAGGATTATATTCATTCCACCCTCTGGAATGAATTACCTACTGAGCTCCGAACGGCTCCTGATCTCCGCTCCTTCTGTCGGACTTGAAGACTTGGCTTTTTGCTTTTCAAACAAATAGGCTGAGATTGATTCCGGGCTTTATTATTTACTACTAATTAATTATTTGGATTAAATTATGATTTTATTGTACTTGTTTCTTAACTTGTGTTCGCCACCCTGAGTCCTTCGGGAGAATGGCGGCATAAAAATACATGTAATAAATAAATAATAAATAATAAATATAGTTTATATAATCAGTTTATATAGGACAGTGATGGCTAACCTTTTTGCCGTCGTGTGCCAAAAGCGGGGGTAATGGGGATTGTGTGCGCGCGTGCCCACACCCATAATTCAATGCGCCCCATCCCCCCCATGCATGCATGCATGACCCCCCCACTCTCCCCCCGCTTTTGGCACGCAATGGCACGGTGGGCCCGTAGGCCCATTTTTTTGCCCTCCCCAGGCTCCAGAGCCTTTCTAGGAGCCTGGGGAGGGTGAAAACAGCCTTCCCCACTCCCCCGGAGGCTCTCCGGAGGCCCGGAAACAGCCCGTTTCCTGACTTCCGGTGGGCCTGGAAGGCCCGAAAATCAGTTGGCCAGCGCGCATATGCGTGCTGGACTGAGATAGGGCAATGCTCGTGTGCCCACAGATATGGCTCTGTGTGCCACCTGTGGCACCCGTGCCATAGGTTCGCCATCGCGGATATAGGATATTCTATTTCCTGCTCATAGGTAGAATCCATGCCTGTATGCTTGTGGCCTTCCAGACATTGATGAACTACAACTTCCAGCATCTCTCTTAATTGATCATGCTCTGATGGACTTTGGGAATTTAAAATTTACTAATACTTAGTGGGCTACAAATTCCACATTCCTCTTTGAAGAAATGTTCAAGTGGACTCCAATAAGAGAATCAATGTGTAGTTGCTAAAGTTACTTGGCGGGGGAGCAATTTTGGAAACCAAACTGGAAGGATCAAGGTTGTGGTGATGTGTTTTCTCCAGAGAGAGTTGGCCAGGGATAGGTGTTCCTTGGCAAGGTTGCAGCAGTGAGGTGGTGGAGGAGAGGTGGTGGTAGTGAGATGTCCCATTCTGAAGTCAAGACCTATCTAATCCAGTATTCTAAATTACATGGCAGTCAATCTGATGTATATTATTTGCCCAGTACTACATTTATGATTCAGCTTTCCTCTGAGAGCATAGTATGAGCACCTAAAGCAGGGGTGAAATGCTCCTGGTTCGGACCGGATCACCCGATCTGGTAGCGATGGCAGAGGGTGGTTCGGAGAACCCGTAGCAAAAATCCCTGCGCCGCCCCCCCCACACACACACGCACACACCATGCCCAGCTGAGCTGCACGATCATCAGAGGCTTTTTTTTTTAATGTTTAAAAGCATTTTTTCTACAACCTCTTCCGACAAAAAAATGCTTTTAAAAGTTTTTTTAAAAAAGCCTCTGATGATCGCGCAGCTCAGCTGGGATTGTCAGAGGCTTTTCAAAGCATTTTTTTCTGCAACCTCTTGGCCGAAGAGGTGGTAAAAAATATGCTTTGAAAAGTCTCTGACGATCCCAGCTGAGTTGCCTGATCGGCAGAGAGGCTTTTCAAAGCATTAGAAAAAATGCTTTGAAAAGTTTTTTTAAAAAAAGCTGGCCATGCCCACCCAGTCACATTAACAGACACACACACACACACACACACCAAGCCATGCCCACAGAATCGGTAGTAACAAATTTCACATTTCATCCCTGACCTAAAGCTTTTCTTCAATTTAGCCTGACAATAACCAATCTCTGAGGTTGGGCATGGTGTTTGTTCATAATGTCACCCTAGATTGCACAATTGAGGAACAATTTGAACTAGGGCATCTCCTTTTCTAAGTACAAAAAGACTGTACATCAGTCTTATACCACTGGTTTTTTCCTCTGACAATTAGTAAATAAATCTTGTAAATCTGTTTTACAATTGGTTTTTATTGATGAATATTATTGCAGTTGTGTGATTTCAGTTTGAAGTTTTTTATGATAATTTGTCCCAACTTGGCCTTCCACAAATTTGTTGGGGCTTCAGCTATCAGAATTTGAGACAGCAAGAGCAACATTTCCAGGCTGACCAGAAATTCTGAGAATTGCAGTCTCAACGTTTCTTCATGACCCTGGGTTGGAGAATGTTGATCTAGAAGGATGAAGATTTGTTTCTATGTTTATTTTTTTAAAGCAAATAAATGGACAAACACAAATGATGTGTTACTTTTTTCCCCAGGCTCAAATACTTGTTCTGCCATCCCAACCTCAAAATTTGGACCAAAATAGCAAACAGCAGTATCCATCCAAGCATGATCATATGGTCTGCAAATGCCTCTCACTGAGCATTTCCTATGCAGCAACTATTGGTGGACTCACTACCATCATTGGTACTTCCACCAACCTCATCTTCCTAGAATATTTCAACAAGTAAGTATTAATAAACTCTGACTGAAGCTGATGTGAAAGCATATGTGTTTATCCTGATCCCAGGCATATTTTTTTTCTTATCCATTAGTTTCACAAGATATTTACTATAAACTAAGGAAACAGGCAGGCATGATGTTCTCCCCATTATGGCTAAAGAGATTTCATTCACATAATGATCTGGAAATTATATCTAAAAGGAGAATTTGAGGAAACTGGTGTGTTTAGTCTCAAGAAGAGAAAATTGAAAGAGGATATATTCACACTTGAAAGAATCATCATCATCATTTAATGTCCCCCATAACCAGGGGTGGGTTCTACTTACCTTTACTATCGGTTCACAACAGGATCGCATGGAATGTGCATGCACAGATTGCTGATGACGACATCCGGGGTGGTGGGCAGAGCCTCCTGCCGGTTTTACTACCGGTTCTTGTGAACCGGTCCGAACTAGGGGCAACCCACCACTCCCCATAACGATCCCTTGTGGGGTGGAGTCTGGGCAATTGAATGGAGCAGAGGTGGGTTTCACACATATTTTTACCACCGGTCCACCACGCACCAAAAATGTGAAAGTGTGCGTGCCTTCCGTGCATGCACCCGGCCTTCCGTGCATGCGCTTTGCTCACGTGCGCGGCTTAGAAAACATGGCTAAATAGGATGGGATAACACTGAGGCAGGTGGGCGGGGCCACCCATGGTCGCCACTAACGGTTCACCTGAAATGGTCCGAACTGGCTGAATACCACCACTGGAATGGAGCTAGGAGAGTGTTTTAATGGCCGGATGCCCTTTCTGTCACCATTGCAAAGTTTTGTTCAGCAGATATATTCTCAGAGTGCCCAGAGAGAGAAATATCTGCCTCTACCTAGGATCGAACACAGCCTCCCGATTGTGAGGTGAGAGCTCCACCTCTAGGCCACTGCACCACTCCATTCATGCTTTTTTTTTTTTTAATTTGATTTATATGCCGCCCTTGTCCAGAGACTCAGGGCGGCTTACAATGCGTTAAGCAATAGCCTTCATCCTTTTGTATATTTATACAAAGTCAGCTTATTGCCCCCACAACTGGGTCCTCAATTTACCTACCTTAGAAAGGATGGAAGGCTGAGTCAACCTTGAGCCTGGCGAGATTCGAACCTGCAGTAATTGCAGGCAGCTGGTCTTAATAACAGGGTGCTTTAGACCACTGTACTACCAAGGCTCTTTACTACCAATGCTTGAAAGAATGCTGCCTAGAAAAGGGCTGAGATATATTTTTTTCTTAGTGCATATTATCTTAAAGTGCAGGAGACAAAACAATAGCTGTAAGTTACAAAATGGCATATTCTATCTGAATGATAAGGAAAACAATCCTAAAGATAACAGTCTGGCAGTGGAACCAATGATAAGAGAATTGACAAGCTCTATGTTGCTGGATAAGTTCAGAGAGAGATTAGACAGTCATTGGTTGCTAATGCTTTAATCTGGAATCTTGCATTGAGCAAAAAGTTGGATTCAACACAATTGCTTCAAATTCTTTTCTGCAAATGGTTAGAAAGTACCAAATGAAGTTCATCTACATAGAAAAGTTCACATCTAAGACCATGAGTTTGATGGAAGATAAGAGAGTACAGTACTTGAGGAGCCAAGAAACCTGTGAAATGAATATTTGTGTTCTCTTCTTAGTCTGTTTTATACTCTTCCCTACTTTCAGAGTTCCAGGTAGGGTTGTCATGAATGTAGCATGCAAAATCTAGATCTTTGTATTACTGTTCATAAACTATGGTCACCTCAGAGCTGTGAGTAATCATATTCTCACAAAGGCCCGAAGCTGTATAAGCCTTTGATTAGACAATTCACAGTGGTGTAGAATGGATATATCTGACAAATAGGTTCTTGGTTTTCTCTGAGCTTGGTTCTTTTCCTCAGTGAATGAGAGATAAAGTTGTAATTGAATTACTGTAAAAACTGTATATCTTTCCACACTAAGGTAGAGTAAGAGTGGTAGTGAATTGGCGATGCTCGAGGAAGCTTTAAATAAATTGTGAATACATTTGTCTGAAGTGGTGTAGGGTTTCCTGCCTAAGCAGGGGGTTGGACTAGAAGACCTCCAAGGTCCCTTCCAACTCTGTTATTCTATTCTATTCATTTCTTTTAACTTCTTTACAGCCATTACCCAAATTCGGATGTGGTGAATTTTGGAACCTGGTTCTTATTCAGTTTACCGATCTCGCTCATTATGCTGGTATTAACCTGGTTCTGGATGCATTGGCTTTTCCTTGGTTGCAAGTAAGTGAAACAGTGATGAAATGTACTAAGCTGGATTCCCAGGCAGGAGAGGGAGGGGGCATTCCAGAGGAATAAGAGACAACTCAGTCCAGATATTACGTGTAGCAGAAAGAGACTGAAGGCAGCCCTTCCTTAATAGTTCCCAGAGTATATGGGAGATGCAGATAATAAAGTGCTTCGTCTGGCAAGATTCTGTCTATAGGTATGGAAACAATAACGAATTTGGCTTAGAAGAATCACCATATGTTATTCTTCATTTTTGGGTCCGACAGAAACCTGCCCTATCTATCGACTAGAGGTGGTATTCAACGGGTTCGGACTGGTTCACCTGAACCGGTAGCGGAAATCGCGGGTGGGGGTGGACTGCCTACCTGCCCCGGCTCTATGCCATCCTATTTAGGCATGTTTTTGAGGCCGGGCGCATGCACGGAAGGCGCAAATGCACATGCGCGGATGACCGCACGCTCATATTTTGCAAACCGGTAGGGAAAGTAAGTGAATTCCACCCCTGCTATCGACATTCCCAATCTATAGTAAGAGTGCTACATCACGCTGGTATTACACCAAAAATGTCCCAGTGTCCACTATGGAACATCAAAGCTATGAAATGGAGGCCAAGGACTAGCATCAGCAAATAACAGATAATATATTCACAGTTATAGTTACAAGAATTGGGCTGTAAACATCCAGATAACCAGTAGATCAGGGCACAGAATGTAGAAACAATTTAGTGGTTGGGATTTTTGTAGCCCAGTTCTGGTAACCTGAATGGTTCTTGTATTCTTCTGTTTCTAATAGCAGGTTTTGTTTTCAACTGTTTTAGATTTTGTATCCTTTGTTTTAGTTAATCTTTTAAAAAGGAGCCTGTTTTGCAACCCTGAGGATTATTATAAAGAAAGAAATTGTTTTCATACTAGTACACAAATAGCTGGAAGCTGGCAATGACCTCAAGCTGCCATTGGCCTTATCTGGAAGGGCTCCAATCAATCTCTTGAGACATTTTGTTTCCTAATAAAAATAAGATATAATAAATCAGAAATAATGTATACTCTTGCAACAGGTCTGAACATGATTTTTGCATAATGAACAATTACATTCTGTTGGCACTGCCAACTTCAAATGTTTTTCATTGCAAAATGTACATTTTGTGGTTTATTAATCTGAAATTCTGTTTACTGCAATGTATTCAAGAATGTATTATATTGAAAATGTGACATAGCAATAATCCAAAAATTGGAGTTTTAAAGAAGCCTAAAGCTATGTTGTCTGTTCCAAGTAATGGGAAAAATATAACAGTAGGAAGCCAGAAGCTGAAAGAGATGGGATAAGGTAGCTCAAAGAACAGAAGTTAAGCAAAAACCCAATTCTTATTAAAGGAGACTGTCCCAAGTCAGTAGAATTTCCTTTCCCATGCTTCAGACGTTTTCATAATTGGATCGTTAGAGCTGTTAGTGCCATTGCCCATATCTTTTGGTATGATGTAAAATGCAAACTCAAAGCAAAAAGAATTGGAAAGTGAAGTAAAAATTTTAAACCACTTCAGTTAAAACAAAATGCTTAATTTTGCATCAAAAAAGCTTGATCGGATGCAAGTTCAAACTGAGATGTAAATCATCGTTGTTTGGTTTTGACTTTCACACTTTGGTTAAATTGAAATAAACTTAAGATATGTATATATTGTTTAATTGTGCTGATGGTAACTAATGTGGGTCAGATGCTGGCTTATATACTCCTGTGATCTGATTCAGAAAAAAAACTCTTCTTCAGTTGTTGTGCTTAGAAACACCAATTCCAAAATGAATTATAGTATGAATCTATTTCATTTAGGGAAAAATCCACAAAGGACTTTAAATACTTTATGACTAAATCTACACAGAAGGACCTCCTTCTGTTCCTATTTATGAGTACTGAGTAACAAACTCATTTGGGAAACTTTTTTTTTCCTGGCATTAATTCAGCTCTCCCCAGAGTGTGGTTGTCAAAGCCAATATGGATTTGCTGCAAATCTTGCTGCAGTTCCATACTCTAATTTCCTTCTGTTTTCCCATCTCCTATTTATTTTCAGTTTCAAAGAAACCTGCTCAATAAGCAAGAAGAAGAAGACCAAGAGGGAAGAAATGTCTGAGAAGAGAATCCAAGAAGAATATGAGAAGCTGGGAAATCTTAGGTAAGAATAGAATAGAATAGAATAGAATAGAATAGAATAGAATAAGAATAGAATAGAATAGAATAGAATAGAATAGAATAGAATAGAATAGAATAGAATGAATAGAATTTTTTATTGGCCAAGTATGATTGGACACACAAGGAATTTGTCTTTGGTGCATATGCTCTCAGTGTACATAAAAGAAAATATATGTTCATCAAGAATCATAAGGTACAACACTTAATGATAGTCATAATGGAAGGAGATGGGTGGTGGGAACGATGAAAAGATTAATAGTAGTGCAGACTTAGTAAACAGTTTGACAGTGCTGAGGGAATTATTTGTTCAGCAGAGTGATGGCGTTCGGGAAAAAAACTGTTCTTGTGTCTAGTTGTTCTGGTGTGCAGTGCTCTATAGCGTCGTTTTGAGGGTAGGAGTTGAAACAGTTTATGTCCAGGATGTGAGGGGTCTGTAAATATTTTCACAGCCCTCTTTTTGACTCGTGCATTATACAGGTCCTCAATGGAAGGCAGGTTGGTAGCGATTGTTTTTTCTGCAATTCTAATTATTGTCTGAAGTCTGTGGGTACCCAGTTTTCATATTGTATTACACTGAACACCTGTCATTTTCAAGACATATTAGAACTTCTATGATTGCCACACACGATAGCTGGACAAAAGTTCCAGCTATTGCTGTTTCAGTATAATTGGAAGTGCCAGATTGAGAAAGACAACTCAATTACAGTATATATCAGTGGACCAAGATCCAAGAAACAGCATGGATGAAGTCAACATTGGAGGAGCTGTCTTCTACATTCTGAATAGAACTAATCAACAAAGTTGTTGTGAGATTCTATTTTAAATGCTTCTTTTAAAATATACATAAATATTTCTTTTCTAGCTATCCTGAGATGATGACTGCATTCTTCTTCATCTTGATGGCTTTACTCTGGTTTACAAGAGAGCCTGGGTTTGTTCCAGGCTGGTCATCTTTTTTTGAACAGTAAGTATCTACCGGTACTTAGAAGCACAATGTCAGGCTTCCTGACCAGAACTCAACTGTAAATCAGAGAACTCGTTATATAATGGCTTAGTCTGACCATTAGCTAGACTTAACAGAAGATTCTTAGCTAGATTAGACCAGTATCTGACTGTCCCTACCATTATGGAGTCTTTGTTTTCAAAATTTAATCAGTTTAAATCGATTTAAATATAACCAATTTAATTATCCTATAATTGCAGCCCATTATTTTTTGTCCTTCACTGCCAAACAACCGGGTAGGCAATGTTATGCAAAGCACAAAAAATTAATATGAATGGGTGTGGGGTGGTTGAGGGGGAGTGTGTTTTAATCAGTCTTGACTCCTGCGGTCTGCCTGCAATTTTCTTGTCAAGTTGATCCAGAAATGGTTTTGCCATTGACTCCTTCTGAAACGAAGTGGCCTTAACCATGACACCAAATTGGCTCTCAATAAATAAGAAATAGTAAGCCAAAAATTAAATATGCTAAGGTACCAGGATGGAAAACAGAAGTCTGTGAATTCTAGCCCCATTTTAGGCCTGAAAGCGGGTCAGTCACTCTCTCTCAGCCCAACCAACATAAATGTAATGTTACTACAAGCAATCTTTATGCATCCATACCAGAGGTGGATTTCAAGCAGGTTCTGACCAGTTCTGGAGAACCAGTAGTGGAAATTTTGAGTAGTTTGGAGAACCGGTAAATACCACCTCTGACTGGCCCCGCCCCCATCTATTCTCTGCCTCCCGAGTCCCAGTTGATCGAGAGGAAATGGGGATTTTGCAGTAACCTTCCCCTGGATTGGGGAAGGAATGGAGATTTTACCGTATCCTTCCCCTGCCAGGCCCACCAAGCCATGCCACGCCCACCAAGCCATGCCCACAGAACTGGTAGTAAAAAAAATTGAAACCCACCACTGCCTTAGAGGTCTTTTAGTCCAACAATAGATTAAATGACAATGGGATACCATACTTCTTGCTCAGTGCTGAACCATCCTATTTATTCTCGTACATGTTCTATTTCCGCCATATACTACAACTTTTATTGTATTCATCAACCAATCTTCAATTCTGTATTTATACAAAATGACATTACTGAAGCCTATTTATCATGTATTTTCTCCAAAACAGCACATATTCAGAAACTTTCTCATATTTATATGTTTTTCAGTGTACTACTGACAGGCAAAAACCTGACCTTTGCTATCATTTCATGTGTTAGCAAATTAATGTTTAGGATCATCCATCACAGAGTAGAGCATGAAAAGGATGATTCCAGAGGTCTGATAACCTCTCTCTCTCTCTTTTCACCTTCTGTATATGTCCTTCTGTGTGTTCAGATCTTCAAAGTTTTTTTCCCCCCTGTAACTGGAATAATGTCTTCTACTGTTTTTTATTTCTTTTCTTATTGGAATATTTTTAAGCTTACATTTTTTTTAGGGATTCTAGTTTTGAGATCTTTTTCTTGTTAACTTCTCCTGACGTAGTAGTTGTGTAACATGTAGACACGGTAGAATAATAAATTTACAGCAATCCTACTCATCATTGCTCTGAGGTGTGTGTGAGGATGCGTGCATGAGGTTGTGTTTAGATTCAGTTTCACAACTCCTCCATTACAAGATCACATAACAATATAATAAACAATAACTATAATCCCCAATATTTCTGATGCCCCGATTTGTCAGCTGAATTTCCTCCTATAAGATTAATATTTATTTATTTATTTATTTATTTATTTATTTATTTATTTATTTATTTATTTGACAACAAGTACAAGGAAACAAGTAACAGTATAGACGTAGACATGGACACATGAAAAAAAAATGGCACAAATAAAAGAAAATAAATCAGCAAAACATAGCCATAAACACATAAAATGAGTACACATAAATGGAAACTTTAGGATAGGGATGGTAGGCACGCTGGTGCGCTTATACATGCTCCCTTAGGGACCTCTTAAAAAACATGAAAGGTCCACAGTAGACAGTTTAAGGTAAAAGGTATGAGGATTTGAGAGACTAACAACAGGATAACCACAATATAGGTAACCATAGCTCACAACTGTTTGTTTGTTTGTTTGTTTGTTTGTTTGTTTGTTTGTTTGTTCGATTTATATGCCGCCCTTTTCCGGAGACTCAGGGCAGCTTACAATGTGTTAAGCAATAGCTTTCATACTTTTGTATATACCTGCTTATTAGGGCTTTCGGGCCCCCCCAAGCGGTGTTCTTTTTTATACAAAGTCAGCTTATTGCCCCCACAAACCGGGTCCTCATTTTACGTACCTCAAAAGGATGGAAAGGCTGAGTCAACCTTGCGCCTGGTGAGATTTGAACTTGCAGTAATTGCTGGCAGCTGGTGTTACTTAACAGTGCTTTAGTCTGCTGCGCCACCAAGGCTCTTGGATTTAGCGATCATTCAGTTACATCACTGAAAAAAGTAACTCATGACTATTTTTCACACTTATGACCATTGCAGCATCCCCATGGTTATGTAATCAAAATTTGGGAATTGATTCATATTTATGACGGTTGCTGCGTCCCGAGAAAACGTGATCACCTTTTGTGAGTTTCTCACAAGCAAAGTCAGTGGGGAAGCCAGATTCAATTAACAACCATGTTACTAACTTAACAAACCGTAGGGATTCACTTAACAGCTGTGGCAAGAAAGGTCGTAAAATGGGGTAAAATTCACTTAACAACTGTGTCACTTACCAACAAAAATGTTGGGATCAATTGTGGTCATATGTCAAGGACCAGCTATACTGTTATAAACCTTGGATCTTCTTGTTTATTTCTCCACCTTTTGAATGAGAAAATCAACAGCAGCACAAGTTAGGAATTTCCTGGAAGAATCATACAAAGCTGAATGTGTCTTCCACCAGATTTTGGGGGTAATTAAGTTACCATCTCTACTACTACATATTCTTTGAAAGATCTGTACTCTGCTTCTAGAAGCCACCATCCACAGTTTCTCATTGGTTGTGGAGGCAATAATACAGAACAATATCAGTATTCCTCCACTTACCTTATCTGTTTTCTTGTTCCTTAAATAATTTCTGTACCATGCAAGATAAAATTGCCTGAGTCGGTAAGTATTACAGAACGTTCTTGCAAATCTTTGCACACAGTGCTAAGACATAGCTTGACTCGGTTGTGTTACAATGAGAATCCAGGCATTATAGCATGGAATTATGTGAAAACCAGGATGCCATGGCTTGTTTCACAAACCATGATTCGTAAAATAAATTACCCGTATTTTTTGAAGTATAAGACGCACCTTTTTCCCCCCAAAAAAGAGGGTGAAAATCTGGGTGCGTCTTATACTCCGAATGTAGCCCCGCCCAGCTTCTCAAACTGAGGTTTCAGAGGCTGAAAAAAGCATCAGAAACAAAGCTTCAGAAAAGAAGCCCCCAAACAGAGCTTCAGAAAAAAAGCCCCCAAACAGAGCTTCAGAGACTTTTTTTCTGAAGCTCTGTTTCGGAGGCTTTCAGAGGCAGGAAAAAAAGTTTTTTCTGAAACAGAGTTTCAGAAGTTTCAGAGGCAGGGAAAAAAAAACCAAAAAAAAAAGCAAGGCACAGAGCTCACAACCAAGAAACCTATTGCTAAAATTCACCTCTGGGAACAGCTGATTGGGGATATTCCAGGAGGCTGATCCACCTGCCAATCAGCTTTCTTCTTATTTTCCTCCCCAAAAAACTAAGGTGTATCTTATACTACGATGCGTCTTATACTCTGAAAAATACGGTACATGTGCATGGAGCCAGTAAGGGGAAAAAAGGACATGCGTCAGAAAATGAATCTATCTGCTGATTATAACCAGTGTCTGTTGTAAAACTGTTTCATGGTTTTCCTAGGAAAGGCTATCGGACAGATGCCACCGTGTCTGTTTTCCTTGGTTTTCTCCTCTTTTTGATTCCAGCAAAGAAGCCATGCTTTGGGAAAAAAGCGAAAGGTATGAAGGCTTATATATGGAGCAACGTTTGACATTGTTTTATTTCAGTTGGTGTCAGTATCCAAAACTCAGTTCACTTATTCACATCACAATTGTTGGTCACCATTATACCGTTATTTCCCAGATAGTCTCCTTAGGGTGGATGTTTATTTGGACAGCAGACCAAATTACAATTTGCCATAGGCCAGGAATTATAGATATTCTGATTGATTTTAGCTTACGAGTGCTAAGGGCAAAAAGCAGGATGAGGAAACTGCAGCTTTCACACAGCTATTTTAATTCTGACCTACTGCTCTATGACCGCAATAGATTGAATTGAATTGCCAGATCTAAATATTTGTTCTGCCCCAGCTACGGACTCCAAAGAACACAGCACACACAAAGTCAGTTCAAATCTTAGTGCTATGACAGTGATGGGACCTGAAGCATGTCAAACCCGTCAGGTCTTATAATATATCTAGAAGGTACCAAGTTACTAAATAAACCAGTTTTTTACAACAACGGCTGTTAATTAACTGCATTAACAGCCGCCAAGAATTCAAAGCATAATACTGAAAGCTTACTGTGGTTGTCAGAATGCCCAGAAGCAATTTGCAGGAAGCTGATAAGATAATCAAGACAAGACACGAAGGTATGTAAACGAAGTTGTTCCCTGCAAATTTCTTCAGTCGGCGTTCCTCCTTAAATAGGCTAAGGGAGTGGCCAATTAGCCCCAAGCCTTACTCTCGAGGAGACCTCCTCCTCCTGAGGAGCCACTCCTGCCTTTTGGCAGCTCTGTGTGCCCGTGCATCGAGAAGAGACTCCTCCTCTTTGTCCTCTTCACTTAAGGGAGCTTCTGGAGGTTCTGAAGGCCCTGGCTGAATCCCCACCTCTGGCACCACATCTTCTCCAGCCTCCTCATTGTCTGACTCAAGTGCCAGCTGCCCAGGCTGCTGGCGCAGCACCACACCAGCCTCCTCACTGTCTGAATCAGCTACTAACTGCACAGGCCACTGACGGGCCACAACAATATTAGCAATCAGTACCCCAAACATCATGGCCTTCTGTGACAGAAACCTCTTCTTTTTTTTCAATCTATTACTTTAGACCACATTTGCTTAGCCTGATACCTTCCAGTTACATTGGTTTTATTCGTCTAATATCTCTAATAGGCGCCAGATTTTACCTTAGATATTGCCGCTTTCCACATTCTGCTGAGAAAGTATTTCTTTGTAGAAGTCTGTATAGATTCTCAGTCATCCAGGTCAGGGTTGTCCCAAAGGTGCTTTTTTCAGGAGGCAACAGAACTTTCTTATTTATTTTTTTTTCTTTTGAAGACGTTTCGCTTCTCATCCAAAAAGCTTCTTCAGCTCTGATAGGATAGTGGAGAATGGCAGGATGAGAAGCGAAACGCCTTCAAAAGTAAAAAAAATCCCAAGAAAGTCCAGTGGCCTCCTGAAAAAAACACCTTTGGGATATTTCTTCTTAGACAGTGCAATTACTATCTGTCAAAAAGAATCTATAAACAAAGCAAGTGTATTTTATTTTGTCATAGGTCAAGTTAATAAGTCTACGGATGTTAACTCAGGAGAGTCCATAATCACCTGGAAGGACTTTGAGAAAACAATGCCATGGGAGATAGTAGTTCTGGTTGGAGGAGGTTACGCTTTAGCCGCTGGATGCAAGGTAAGATAATTAACTTCAGGATATTCACCCATTGTAATACTCTATGTCAGTGTTTTTCTCAATCTTGGCAGCTTGAAGATGTGTGGACTTCAAGTCCCAGAATTCCCCAGAATTCTGGGGGTTAAAGGCCACACATTTTCAAGCTGCCAAGGTTAAGACACACTGCTCGGTGTGATGACGGGTTACATTGCTTACAAAACTAAAATGCTTCCAGTGTGAGGGACTTTTTCCCTTTCGGTAGCTTCATTCCTTGATGCATGGTGAAAGCAAGTTAATAAGGTGAAAGCCTAATCCAAAAGAGGGTGTAACATTAACAGAATTGGAACATGTAACAGTAACAGAGTTGGAAGGGACCTTGGAGGTCATCTAGTCCAGCCCACTGCTCACGCAGGAGACCTATACTAGGGATCCACCCACTTCTCCTTATCAATTCAATTTTTCCCTTTCCACATTCTTTGCTCTTTACCACCAGAGAATGGAATCCATCCAGGGAACTGAAATAATCACATGCAAAAAGCTTTTGAAATGAGACAGGAGACTACAACAGGTCACTCATAGATCTGAATTCTTTATTACTCCACTATTTTTCCTTTTCCCTGTTGACTTTCCTTTTATATATATATAAAAGGAATATATATATCTTTGTTTTCCAAATATTCCAAAAAATAGACTAACTATTTGCTCTGATTCTCTACTCTGAAGCTGATTCTTTTAAAGTTTGCAGTTTAATGACAGCTTGGGCCAACTAGTACCGTTAGTCTTCGACTTACAACCATTCGTTTAGTGACCATTCAAAGCGAATGGCACTGAAAAAAGTGACTTATGACCAATTTTCACATGATTGTTGCAGCATCTCCATTGTCACCTGATCAAAATTCAGATGCTTGGCAATGGTTTATATTTATGATGGTTGCAATCAGGGGTGGTATTCTGCCAGTTCAGACCAGTAGTGGTGACCTGCAGGTGGGATGGCCCCGCCCCTGCTCATCCGCCTGGGCACAATCCTGACCTATATCGCTGTGTTTTGATGTCGCACCAGTAGTGGGTTTCAAATTTTTTTGCTACCAGTTCTGTGGGTGTGGCTTCATGGGTGTGGCATGGCTTGGTGGGCGTGGCTTGGCTTGGTGGGTATGGCAGGGGAAGGATACTGTAAAATCTCCATTCCCATCCCACTCCAGGGGAAGGTTACTGCAAAATCCCCATTTCCTCCCGATCAGCTGGGACTCGGGAGACAGAGACTAGATGGGGGCGGGGCCAGTCAGAATTTTTACTACTGGTTCTCTGAACTACTCAAAATTTCCACTACCGGTTCTCCAGAACTGGTCAGAACCTGCTGAAACCCACCACTGTGTCTCACGTATGTGCGGACGGCACACACGAGCGAATTGCTATGTTTTGTGACAGTGCACGCATGTGCGCTCACATTTCCGGTACTGGGCGAACTGGTTGCTACAGTATGTGAATCCCACCTCTGGTTGCAATGTTCCGGCATCATGTGATCACTGTTTGCGAAGCTCTGATCAACAAAGTCAATGGGGAAGCCAGATTCACTTAACAACCATGTAACTAACTTAACAAGTGCAGGAATGCTGAGTCGATCTTGAGCCAGTCAGGATCGAACTCCTGGCAGTGGGCAGAGTTAGCCTGCGATACTGCATACTAACCACTGCGCTACGATGGAGAGATAAAGCAGACAGAAACATGTTTGATTCACTTCCTCATAAAGTCTTTCCTAGTTTTCTTTTTAACATAATCTCCAGGGAAGACAATAAATGAGGGTAGATGCTAAGGCAAGCCAAGGAGAATTCACACATCACGCGGACAACCTAACTGCCAATATGTGGAAGCATTAAAACCACTTTTTTATTCCTGCAGAACTGGGGTTAATGCTTGGAACAGCTAGTACAAGAACTAGAATCTGTTTGTTTTTCCTACCTATCTTTTCTTTGACCCTCAGACCTCTGGACTTTCGACATGGATTGGGAGGCAAATGTTATCCCTGAGTAGCCTTCCATCCTGGGCTGTCAGTCTGCTGGCCTGCCTCCTGGTGTCCATTGTAACGGAGTTTGTTAGCAATCCTGCAACCATAACCATCTTCCTCCCAATTCTATGTGGCATGGTGAGTACAGATTAGGATTTGTTAAAACAAGGTTAGGCAATCCTTTAAAGATAAGGGGCGCATTTCCAGCTGGAGAGGGCAGTTTTCTTTTTCACATGGACTAGTCACAAGATACATAGACATCAGAAAGTAAACAGACAAGGTTATTCCAGTGGTGAAATGTAAAATTTGTTACTACCAGTTCTGTGGGCGTGGCTTGGTGTGTGTGTGGGGGGGTAATGTGACTGGGTGGGCGTGGCCATTTTTTTTCTTTTAAAACAATTTTTTCTACAACCTCTTCGACCTTTTAAAAGCTTCTGACAATCCCTGCTGAGCCACACGATCATCAGAGGCCTTTTTTTAAATTTTAAAAACATTTTTTCGGCCAAAGAGGTTGCACAAAAAATGCTTTTAAAATTTTTTTTTAAAAGCCTCTGATGATTACACGGCTCAGCTGTGCATGGGGGGGAGCAGGGATTTTTGCTACCGGTTCTCCGAACGACTCACCACTATCACTACAGGATCGGGCAATCCGGTCCAAACCGGGAGCATTTCACCACTGAGTTATTCCCACTACCCCTCCTGCCTTCCCAGAATAATTTATATTACCAAGTTTACCTTGGTTACCAATAGAGGAGAATATTTGTAGCTCAGAATTGAATTGAGGGGTCCTTGGTGCTCTCTGAGCTTGGTTGTTATTTATTTATTTATTCATGAAAAATTATATAGCCGACAACTTCCTCACAGTGACTCTATGCAGTTTACAGATAATAAAAACATGCTATAGAAAAAATAAAAGTAATAAAAAGTAAAAAAATAATGACACCCTAACCCCCCCCCCTTTAGAGGGACACGGTGGCTCAGTGGCTAAGATGCTGAGCTTGTTGATCGAAAGGTCAGCAGTTCAGCGGTTTGAATCCCTAGTGCCGCGTAATGGGGTGAGCTCCCGTTACTTGTCCCAGCTTCTGCCAACCTAGACGTTCAAAAGCATGTAAAAAATACAAGTAGAAAAATAGGGACCACCTTTGGTGGGAAGGTAACAGCCTTCTGTGCGTCTTTGGCATTTAGTCATGCCGGCCACATGACCATGGAGACGTCTTCGAACAGCACTGGCTCTTCGGCTTTGAAAGAGAGATGAGCACCTCCCCCTAGAGTCAGGAAGGACTAGCAAATATAAAACAAATCCTCAAATCCCACCCCACTCTGGGTTCCCCAGGAAAACCATGTTTTGAGGGCCTTGTGAAAAAATGTCAGAGTGGGGGCCGTTTCTGGAGAAATAATGTTCCAGAGGGAGGGAGGCCACCACAGAGAGTCTTCTTCTGGGTCCTGCCAGATGTATCTCCTTAGGGGATGGGATCCACAACATTCCTTGCCTCCCCACTCTACAGAGAAACTTTACAGAGAAGGCCCTTGATATCTACAGACAATTCAAAAGAGACAATCAAGTTCAAAAGGAAACAAAAAAAAAAAATCCAAAACATCTCCTCACCAGCAATCAACACTCAGATCAGCATAGATTAACTCCAAGATTAACATGAGACCAATGACCAAGAAGTAAGCAATATTGCAATTAAGGAACTGCTAAACAAGCTAACCGTAAACAGCCCAACCTAAGAACAACCAAAACCATTCCCACCAACACTGACAAGACAATCCACCAGAACAGGGCTGTCAAACTCGCAGCCCGCAGGCCAGATGTATCACGCACTGTCCACGCCCACGCCCAGTTTAGCGAAGGGGAGGGGGGGAGTCACGAAATGTCACGTGATGACACCATGATGATGTGAGTTTGACACCCCTGCATTAGAATATAAAAATGAGAGCAAACCCCACTCCCTACTAGCATTGATGATGTTACTTAGTTTGGGTAATGAAATGTTTGCAAAAAAAAAACAGTTAAGCTGAGAGAGCATCAAGAACTTTTTATTACTCTGGCCAGTTTTCCTGAGGCAGTAAGGGCATATCTACACAAAGCAGTGGACTGGAGACTTGTCACCGTTTTCCTGTTTGGAAGAATGTGTTGTAATCTCTGCAAGAACCGAAAGCATTATTGTTGATGTTCTTGATGCTAAAAGGCCATATGCCACTTTCTCATTTAATGCTCAATAAAAAGCATAAAAAAGAAAATTAAAGTCATCTGAGATAGGAAGTCCAAGATGCCACCAAAGAAGGAGAAAAATGGTGTCACAATCCTGTTGCTATCATCTCATCAATGCTGTAATTTATATACTTGCATCAAACCTAGGAACACAAGTACGCAATGGGGACATTTGTGTGATGGCATCTCTGTAAAGTCATTGTCACTTTAGCAGCATTGCAGTTTGCAGAGATAATGCAAGAACCATGTTGCCTATTACTTATCAAGGTAGAAAATCTAGGTAGGAGACAAGCCAAGCCTATAGCCAATTTTGGATGCTAAAATACATGACAATTGGTTATAGTTGGTAGACCTCTTTCTTATATTGTCTACATGAATTCTCATTTGAATACACATAGATTTCAATTTTATCAGCACCAGTGCAGTATATTTATCCAATGTCTTGCACTCTACGTTTATGCTTGAAAGAAAATGTGAATCCAGATAATCTGTATGTTAGTCTAATACTAAGCCAGGACCCTAGATCTAATAATATTGTTTCTCCAGTTTTGTTATGCATATTACCAAAAGAATTAGTCTTCCTCCTTCTCTTTATAGTCTGAAAGCCTCCAAATCAACCCACTATACACCCTGATCCCTGTCACTATGTGCATCTCTTTTGCGGTAATGCTACCAGTAGGCAATCCTCCAAATGCCATTGTCTTCACTTATGGGCACTGTCAAATCAAAGATATGGTATGTATTAAGCATCCACAATTAAATCAAATAAATTTCAAAAACAATGAAGCACTACAATGAATGTTGCAATGTGGTCACCGTAGATATACGTTATTTGTAATGTACAAATGATATTCAAGATAGGTTTGGAATTGTGGTTTCCATCACCACTATTATTGCCACTAGCCCAACTCTCAAAGAATGGTGTCAAAAATGCTATAAAGGCAAAAATAGTTGAGAAAAAGTCTTGATTAGAATTAAGGAAATCTCAGACAGAAAATACAGATTAGTGCTTCTCAACCTTGGCAACTTTAAGACTTTATGTATCCATAACATTTTAAAAATGCCAAGGTTGAAAACACTGACATAGATAGATCAGAGACAGAGCTCGAGTTATTTCAACCCAGTTAGTGCCTTGTTGGCTGTGGTTTGGCAAAGTGAACATGAGGACACATCTGGAAATAGAAGGAAATGATTTAATCCAATTAAGTAGCTGATCTATATGCTCCCTGGATTTGGTCTATGAAAAAAAAAAAAAATGTCACAAGCTATCCAGATCTGGTGTGCTTGAACTGTAAACCCTTATTCAAACTGATACTCATTATTTTGGTTTTTCTTTTTATTTGTAGATCAAAGCTGGCTTTGGTGTCAATATCATTGGATTAGTGATTGTTACATTGGCCATAAATACTTGGGGAATTAGACTCTTTCAACTGGATATATTTCCTGATTGGGCCCAAGCCAGTAATAATATTACTGGCCCATCATAGACAACATTGGCAAAATTTGCCAAATCCCAGAAAATGGACCAACATGATTGTACATATATATTAAAAAGGAGACTTGACTATATATTATGCCAGGAACGGGAATAAAATAAGGTATAACTTAATTGAAGTTCTGTCAAATATTACATCTAGGTGTTAAATGAAAACTGGGGAGGGGGGAATTCCATTTTTATTTGATGGGATGTATGTAGCTCACGGTACTCTAGTATAAAATTAAAGATTAAGGGTTAGCTTTGTAAATGTTTGTGCAGAAAGCTGTACATAGAAGCTACTTTATAAGGATTCTTATAAAGGATCCTTAACATTATTTTGATGGTCTCGGTGGAAATGCAGGCTCTATTCATATTCATAGCATAAAGCCATCCTATACATGCAGTCTCTTGAGTCTCTAAACTTTTATTTTTAAATGTTTAAATTGGATGTTCTACTATTCAGTAAATGCTGTCTTGCTCGTGTTGCTTTTCTACTGTTCCCTCTCCATCTCTCGCCCTTATTTATTTTCTTTTGCTAAGTTTGATTAAGAAAGCCAGTTTGGTTTAATACTTAAGGCATCAGGATAGAAATCAGGAGACTGTGAGTTCTAGTCCTACCTTACATATAAAGCCAACTGGGTGCCTTAGCCCATTTATTCCCACTGAGCCTTAGGAAATAAGCAATGTTGTTTCCAAACCATTTCCAAAATCTGGCCAAGAAAACTGCATCGACTTGTCCAGGCAATTGCCAGTAATCAAGACTGACTTGAAAGCACACAAAAAATGTTCAACATAACATACTTGAAGAAAACTCCACAAAAACTACTGGATAGATGTCAGGGGTGAAATCTACTTACCTTCCTTACCGGTTCAGAAGTGCATTCACCACACGTGCGTGCACGTTTCCTGGTTAAAACCAGGAAGTAATGACATCCGGGCAGCTATCACTACTGGATCACCGAACCACAGGGAAAAATCGCTACCGGATTGGGCGATCCGGTTTGATCCGGGAGCATTTCACCCCTGATAGATATCCTTTCTGTTTGATCAGGGGTGTCAAACTCAATTTCATTGAGAACCACATCAGGGTTGTATTTGACCTTGGGGTACCAGGGGGGCGTGGCCAGGGGGTGGCCAGCTTGACATCACTAGTTGAGGCTCCATTTTTGGCTGCAACGGCCTCCTGCAGCTCTCTGCCAGTGAAAACGGAGGCCATGGAGCCCACACGCGGCCTCCCTGAGCTTTATTTTCACTGGCAGAGGGCTGCAGGAGACCGTCATGGCCGAAAACGGAGCCCAGCCTGCCCAAGCTCCATTTTTGCTGGCAGAGGCACTGCAGGCCGGTCCTTCGCTGTTTCTAGGGCAGCCCCATGGACCAGATCTAAGCACCCCGCGGGCCAGATCCAGCCTGAACGCCTTGAGTTTGACACCCCTGTGTTTGATAATGTGTTTTTGTATTGCACTATTATCATTATCAAACAATTAAACATTTCATAAAAATAAACTAACTCATTTTAATGATTTTTTTTTTCTCTTACTGAAAACATTTGCTTGGTTTCTAATTTAATCCATATACAGAGGTCTCCCTGAATTACTTTTGCAATGATAAAACAGCTTCGGAATTGCAATTTGGAAGGAGGGGGGGAATAGGAATCTTTCCTGGGCTAAAATATGCCACTAATAAGTGTAAGAAGGATTTTAAAGCATCTGCATTTATGGTTAGCTGTAAATACAAGCACTTAAATTCCTTAATCCTCATATAGCTCTGAGAAATAGCTTAAAGAGAAGGAGGCATTGTTAGCACTGGCCTCAATTTAAGAATCTAGAATAACTTTCAGAGAACTCCTAATAAAAGCAGATGTCCTGCAGTTTTACCTTTCCATGGAATTCTGCATACAGTTTAGCACAAGAACAGGGGGAAACTGTTGTGCAGAAAATTATTGTCCAAAGCACCAGAGGGCAAGACAAGAAACAATGGTTGAAAATTAATCAAAGAAAGAAGCAACCTGGAATTAAGGAGAAACTTCCTAACAGTGAGGACAATTAACCAGTGGAACAGCTGGCCTTCACAAATCATGGGCCCTCCATCACTGGAGGTTTTTAAGAAGATTCTAGACAGTCACTTATCTGAAATAGTATAGGGTCTCCTGTTTGAGCAGGGGGCTGGACTAGAAGACCTCCAAGGTCCCTTCCAGCTGATTCATTCTAAATCTAAATGATGCCCCATGAAGAAACCTTTCAGGGTAACAAGTCTTCAGAAAGATTGTGGCTGCCTCATGGAAACACTTTTTGCTGGAAGTATTGTTTTTACTTGCTGGAATTACAGATTCACACAAATATGCCAGGGTGACTTTGCTGAGTTCCGGAAGGATCAGGCATGTTCCCCTTGAAAGATCCTGTGACGGGACAGCTCGGATTCCTACAGATTTATTCTGTAACTAAGTGCCTTCACAATAGATTTACTATTTTCATAATGCTTCTGTATTCTTATTCTATTACAGATGATACATAACTTGTAATAATTATATCCTGATTGCCTTTGTTATGTTTTTTTCCCCATTAAGAAAAGTAATAACCATCTTTTGTTTCCCATTGCAAATGTTTCTGTTGCAGAAATTGCTTGGTAATAAAGCAAAGTCTAAAAACTGTTAATATTCTTGTGGTATGTAGAAATTGTAATGGGGATGTCCAAACATATTTTCCCCTTTTTCTTTTTGTCTGCTTGTTTTTTTAAGGTAGCCACACTCTTCCTACGAGGAACAGAATGGCAAAAGGCTTTTTCTCTAGGGATATGAGGGTTATCTGGTTACATCTGTCACCAGTCTGACTGATAGGTTTAATTTGGCTGGCTAAGCAAAGGTCCTCTTACACTCCTAGGTGTTTCCACCAGAAGGAAGACGATCCCCATATAGGTGGCAAAGGTAAAGGTAAAGGTTCCCCTCGCACATATGTGCTAGTTTTTCCTGACTCTAGGGGATGGTGCTCATCTCCGTTTCTAAGCCGAAGAGCCAGCACTGTCCAAAGACATCTCCGTAGTCATGTGGCCGGCATGACTAAATGCCAAAGGCGCACAGAATGCTGTTACCTTCCCACCAAAGATGGTCCCTATTTTTCTACTTGCATTTTTTACATGCTTTCGAACTGCTAGATTGGCAGAAGCTGCGACAAGTAACAAGAGCTTACCCCATTATGCGGCGCTAGGGTTTCGAACTGCTGAACTGCTGACTTTTCGATTGACAAGCTCAGCATCTTAGCCCCTGAGCCATCGCTACCCTCAGATAGGTGGCAAAACCCACCTATAAATAAATGCTCTGCTTTTATTTTGCACAATAAAGTTACAAAACTCATGTGAGAAACCTTTGTCCAGATCAAAACATCCATTTTGCCCTTAAAAATAAATTTTCTCTCACCATGAAAAAAAAGAAAAGGATACCATTTCTCAACCCTTTCTTTCTAGTAATGTTGCCTTGTCACCAAACAATTTCCCTACAACCTTCAAAGGTGAAATCTGCCCTGAATCTTCAGAGAGGGGCGGCATATAAATTGAATTAATTAAACTAAACTAAATTAAATTAAATCTGTAACTATAAAAAGTGTCCTGCCCCCACCAAAAGTTGATTGCCAGCTTTTCTGATAGAACCTTCCACGTGGATTTCAGTGGCTTCTGCTGAACAATAGGTATTATTTACTATATTAATTAAATGTATATCAGTATCTTCCAGGTATAGATCTGAGGGGTTCATTGAAACGCATAAAAGTATATTTGACTCTTTACTGCAATAACACCTGAGCTAGTATCTGTAATTACTTCAGTGGTGGGTTTCAAATTTTTTTACTACCGGTTCTGTGGGTGTGGCTTGGTGGCCACGGCTTGGTGGCCGTGGGGAAGCCACCACGGCCACCAGGGGAAGGATACTGTAAAATCTCCATTCCCTCACCAATCCAGGGGAAGGTTACTGCAAAATCCCCATTTCCTCCTGATAAGGTGGGACTCAGGAGGCAAAGAATAGATGGGGGCGGGGCCAATCAGAGGTGGTATTTACCGGTTCTCCAAACTACTCAAAATTTCCCCTACCGGTTCTCTAGAACTGGTCAGAACCTGCTGAAACCCACTTCTGAATTGCTCCTCACACAACTCCCAACAACATGACCATCTGCTGCACTGTTTGGAAGATTGGCCAAATGTTGGCAAGATACAGATTCAGATCCCCATCAGCCATGCATTTCTTTAGATGAATTGTGCAAGCCCCTAGTTTTCAAGGTCATTTCTTGTAAGGATTTGGTAATTTGAAGGAAAAGGAGGAAGAGGCAAGAAATCAATCTGCATCACACATAATAGGGCATGGCTAGATATAACATAGGATCCATTCTTTCTTCAACTTTCTCCAGTGACAACAGATACAAGTAAATTTGACAAACTTTGCCCATCCTTACACCTGATTATGTATTTGATTTGCTTGATATAGGAAAGAACTTGAAAAAATCATGACTCCCATCAAATCTAATTTATGAATGAATCTAAAATATATGTGTGTTTTTGGGCTGTAGAGTTCCCACAACATTCTCTAACATGAAAAGGCTGTTCATTCTCTAATAATAAGAATTTTTTAAAAATGTTAACTTTACTGAAGACCTGAATGTAGGCAAAGAATATCACTAATTTATACGTATATTCTATTTAAAATTTCCTTCACTATAGATAAAAAATGGGTCAGGGCTGAGAAAAATAATACTATTGGTAACATTATTATGGCCTGTCCTTTATCCCAAAATGAGAACTAATCAGAGTAATAACAATAGTTAAACAACAGCAACAAAACAACTCCCCTGCTAAGCTGAGTGATATGGAAGCCAGTGGTGTATCCTTTTCAACACATGTATTCAATATAGACTTGGTTAGTATTTCCTTTATTATGTCCATCATAAATTGAAATAATACATGATGCACGGACCCAGCCAATTTAACAAAATATGATTAAGCAGAACATTGTTCAGGATATTGCATAAACCCAGTCATCATACACAGCAAGAGCTGTATTGCATATTACTTGGAAATAATAGAGAAGAAAAAAAAACTGATAGTTATTACAATGAGTGATTAGAAATAAATAAGCTTCATAATGGAAACAATTTGCAAATAAAAACGGAACAAAATAAAACTTTCTTGCGTAATTAGGACACTTGATTTGATTACTGAAAAATTATATGGATAGATACCAGTTTAAATTTCCCAAATTAAAATTTGGTAGACAAGTCTAGCAACAGATGCATACACAAATCCCAATATTTGTGTCCAAATATATTAACTCTTATAAGGAAAATCTTTTTTTTCTTTCTTTTCTTTTTCTTTTTCTTTTTCTTTTTCTTTTTTTTTTGCTATTAAAAGGATTATCTATATATGCTATGGTATTTGATTGTTTTAAGGTCCTATGAGTATTAAATTATTTTGATGTGATCAACTGACGTTCAACGCCTTTAATAGCATGAATTACCACTTTGACTTTTGTCCAGTGAGAATTCTATTTTTTTTCTAAGGACATAGCAGTACCGTATTTTTCAGAGTATAAGTCGTACCTTTTTCCCCCTTAAAAGAGGCTGAAAATTTGGGTGCGTCTTATACTACGAATGTAGCTTTTTCAAAGCTTTTTTCCAGCCCTAACAGGGTGCTAACGAGGTGCCAGCGAGTGATGTGATCTTCCCAGCTTTGCCTGCTCCCTTGACTCTCCGCTGTGCTTTAATGAGGCGCTAGTGAGTGAAGCAATCTCTATGCTTTGCTTCAACTCTCAGCTGTTCTTTAGCTTTTTTTCAGCCCTAACCAGGCGCTAGCCGAGTGAAGCGATCTCTCTGTGCTTTGCCTGCTTTTCTCATTGCTGCTTCCTCTCAGCTGTGCCTTAAAAGCTGTTTTTTATCCCCAAGCAGGGGATAAAAAAACCAGCAAACTAAAGTGCTGAAGCTGGCCAGACTAAGGACGCTAGCCAGATGAATACCTGGTAGGCAGATTTTTTTTTCCTATTTTCCTCCCCAAAAACTAAGCTGCATTTTATACTCTGGTGCGTCTTATACTCTGAAAAATATGGTAATTTTGATATCATCAATCCATGTTATTTGTTTCCTTCTCTTTCTTTCCCTTCCCTCAATATTCCTAAACATATTTATCTTCTTGTATCACATGCCCAAAATATGTGAATTTTCTAGTTCCAAACAATCACATCAAATGAACAATAAGTCTGCATATAATCCAGAACAGCTGAATCCTTGTTCCTTCTTACCTTAAAATTCATAATTTAAAGACACAAACATTATGGTTTAACAGGTGTGAAATTAATCAACTGCTACTCTAAGCTGAATTCCTTTATTCCACAAACTCCACATGTATTTACGAAGTTTACTTATGCTTCTTCCTGGACAGACAGGTAGATAGTCAGATGGATATAAAATATGCACCATGATTACTTCCTTGCATAAAACAAGACTTCTGTTTATTTACTCCAGTGTTTCTCAACCTCGCATGCTGGGAGGGGAATTCTGAGAGTTGAAATCCACATATCTTAAAGTTGCTGAGATTGAAAAACATTGATCTACTTCATCTTTTTTTATAATATAATCTATGTACAATTCACAAAGTATACTGATAGGTAACACACTAATTTATGAAGATATTTCATGTGCAATCCATACTTTTATTCTAAAACTCCTAGTATTCAAGTCTGTTGTATCTCTTCCGTAAATTGCACAGGAAAACTGTCCTAGAACTTGTGTTGGCTAAGTGGGATTGAAAGAATGTAATTCAAAGAAAAACTGGCAACTCTCAGTGGAAGTGAATAACCAGATTTTATTTTGTACCGTCATGTGTACTGTTTGAACCTTCGTATTTTGCAAACATGAGAAAGAATTTTGCAATTCTTCAAAATTCCTTTTGTAAATTTCAGAAGATGGCCAGAATTATAAAGCTGAGCTCTGCAGACCATGACATAAGGCAATAGTTCCATTGATTTAATGGTAACAAATACGCAATCTAGAGAAACAATTTCATGCTGTTTATTGTAAAATTAGCACTGATCTTTCAAAGTCTTCCTTTCTGAAAATTTGCATTAATTGGGACAACAGTCCACTTTTCCCTCTACCCATATAAACAAGATTCTGAAAAAGACAAAGAAAAAAGTTCTGATAAAATTAGATTGGTCGGGAAATCAAGCAATTTTACCCAAATACTTTGTATTTTGTAGAAAAGGCAATTGAAAGGATGCCCTAACACTGCATTTATATGTGATGGTCAAAGTCTCACTAATGATAATACAAAGAGAATCTTTGTTCTTGCGATCCTAAAAGTCCCATCAAGTTTGATATGATGAATATAATTCCACATAGAGAACTAAAAGTCAAATCAAGGGGAAAAGGTTCTCAATGACATCACTGTCAATTGGACATCTTTTAAAAGCTGACATTTCTCACAATGGTTTAGTATTTATTTATTGTCATAATACACACATTTCTGAATGCACATGGTAATCCATAAAGCCATATTCAACATAGTATTGGAGCATTGTTTAACAAATGAAGAAAACAACAAATTCAAGTAATTTTCATGTAAATATATAGTAATCCATTTAGCATAGGACACAAAACTAGAATTCTAGGTTCCTTGGGAAGCTAAAACTTGAATTTTGATATTTGTGGTAAGGAAGGGTTTCAGTAGAGTAAGAGACCTGAATTTGGGATAGATTGTTTTAAAATCACACTAACCCTGTTTCATACTGCCAATTTTCAGCATTTCTGTCAACAACATTTAATAGAGTGATAGGTCAGAGTAGGATACAAAAACATTTAGAGGGGGCCTACAATAGGTATGCTCACCTCTACATAGGCCATGTAATATCTGCAATGATTGTCCAGCCTCTTCTTAAACATTTATAATGATAGTTACCATCTTTAAATACATGCATCTTTCTTTGTTTCAAGAAAGGGCTACAACAGATACAAGACAGTAAAAATTCAAGCCAGTAAATTTGCAAAGTTTGATTCATGTTTTCATCATCAGAATGCAAGTGCAGGACTCCATCAATTCCTAGTTATACCAGAATGGTAAACCCTTAAAAACATTATAAACAAAAATACCGACTAAGAATCAGAAGATGAGTACATTTTTGTTGATACATTGCAACAATTCATTTAAGTTGTTCAAATTTTTAAAAAATTTTTTACAACTTTTACAAACAATGGATGAAGCATATTGGCTATCATATCTCTATGAACTGCTCAACATTTTGACATTCAATTTACTGACTATATGCAGACTATACATGTTGCAGGAATGCCCAACAATAAAATAGAAAGGTCATATTTCAGCAACAAGATGGGAATTTTTGTCAGACATTTTGTATCTTACAAATAGATACCAATATTTGTAGAGTTAGATCTTTTTTTAGATCAGAATAGTTAATGGCATATCTTCATTCTGTTCCTGACTCTTGTTATTACTAAATATAAAGTATTACTGAAACAATACACTGAGAACAAAAGTCCAGTTTGTGTGTGTGTGTGTGTGTGTGTGTGTGTGTGTGTGTGTATGTGTGTATGGATGGATGGATGGATGGATGGATGGATGGATGGATGGATAGATAGATAGATAGATAGATAGTAGATAGATATGGAATTTTTTTTTTCTTTTGAAAAAAGTCAAGTGCAAGGAGGCCAAATGGATATAGTAACACTAAGCCTGAATGCTTTTTAAGGCCTTCTGAGGTTAGGCCTGGAAGCATTCATTAAAGCCAATAAAGTTTTGACACCTGGATGGTTAAAATATACCATCCATGTTGAATAGTAGGATGCCTAAATCAGCATCATTTATCATTTGGAGGCTTCTTCTTAGCTTCTACGTCTTTCTTGATGTCTTCAATCTTCTTTGCAATGTTCGGAACCTATAAACATATAAAGGAAGTTTACAGAGTCAATTCAAGATAATCTCTGGATCCATGATATATACAGGAAAGAATCTTCTTCTATATTCTAGTCTGCACCATACTCTAGTGTCTTTGCAAGACTGACCACAAATTGATTAATTTAATTTCTGTATTTCAGGCTTTGCTGTTAGAATTAGTAACCGTGGAACAATAGACAAATTTTGGTGCCTTCTGGGACAAACGCTTAAGAAAAAAATAGCATTCTAAAACCCGTAATGCAGGTTTCAATGGAAAAGTGTCAAAATATATCACAATTATTTCATGCATGTAAGTAAGAGGAGATTAATGTGGAAACAGAATGAAATGAAGGTATGGATGAAGGAATGTAAAACTGATCTGGACTCTCTTCATTACACAAATCTGAAGCTGCTGGATTGTGGTTATGTAGAAAAATAGGAAATCAATAGCCTTTCAGATATTGCAAGTCCCATCATCTTTGATACTTTTGACCACTGCATAGCCGTGGTGGCACAGTGGTTAGAAGGCAGTACTGCAGGCTACTTCTGTTGACTGCTGCCTGCCTGCAATTTGTCAGTTCAAATCTCACCAGGCTCAAGGTTGACTCAACCTTCCATTCCTTCGGAGGTTGATAAAATGAGGACCCAGATTGTTGGAACAATATGCTGACTCTGTAAACTGATTAGAGAGGGCTGTAAAGCACTGTGAAGTGGTATATAAGTCTAAACGCTATTGCTGTTGCATTCTAGAAAAAAAATGGGAACTGGAGTTCAGAATCATCTGGTGTTTGACAGGCTTTGCAATGCTCACAAATTCCAAGTCTTAACATAATTTCAAAAGCAGCAAAAATACTTACATCATAATTCTGGGCCAAATACATTCCAACTACATTGCCAACTGCAAAACCGAGCTGGAGAAAGAACAAAAAGGATAACACTGAGGATTTTACTTTTCTTTCTCACCACACATGAAATGTAATTTAAAAATGCAATTCGTTTTCCATTCTATCTTTTAAAACAAATGTTTTGCCAATTTCAGGCCAAAACCTGATTTTCATTAAAGTGTTTATCGTGTTTTTAGCTAATGTTTTTGCCAAACGGTTTGGTTGAATTCCATGTAAACCTACATACAAATAATTCCTCTATTCACCATTTGCAATTTAAACACTGGAATTGTGCAAACAACCAGGCCAGGATTTGGGAAGATCTCAGATAGCATATTCCTAGTAGCAGGTGTGAGAGAAAAAGACAAGGGAAGGGAAATTCCTTTTTCACTGGCATAATTGCCACTTATTTAGCTGTCAGCACTTTCTCATGACTGTTTCTACTTCTCTACTTGATAATACCAAAATGACAAACCATGGAGGGATGTCATAACTGGGTAAGTTTTTTGTGGCCTAGAACATACACTTCCTTTAAAACAGCGCCCCCAACCTTTGAGGCTTGGTGGCCCGCCTAGGGTAGAAAAAGGGGAACTGGCCGCACGAGCGTGGGGTGGTGAACACGTGTGCTCAGCTGAACTCATGCAAATGATGGGTCAGCGCACATAAGCATGCACATACCTGCACATGTATATGCACATACCTGCACATACCTGCTGCTCGCATGAGTTGAGCTGCGCAAGCACATGCACATCAGCTCACCTTTCGTACAGCCTTGTTCCGAATAGACCGAAGTGGCACAGTGGTTAGAGAGCAGTACTGCAGGCTATTTCAGCTGACTGCTAGCTGCAGTTCAGCAGTTCAAATCTCATCGGCTCAAGGTTGACTCAGCCTTCCATCCTTCTGAGGTGGGTAAAATGAGGACCCAGATTGTTTGGGGGCAAGATGCTGACTCTGTAAACTGCTTAGAGAAGGCTGTAAAACCACTATGAAGCGGTATATAAGTCTAAGTGCTATTGCTATTGCTAGGCCAGGGCCCATTAATGGGTTAGGGACAGTGATGGGATTCAGCCAGTTTGCACCACTTCGGGAGAACCAGTTGTTAACTTTCTAAGCAGTTTGGCAAACTGGTTGTTGAAAGAAATCATTAGGGCAGAGAACCGGTTGTTAAATTACTTGAATCCCATCACTGGTTAGGGACCCTTGCTTTAAAAGACACTGGGACTTCTCAGAGCCACAGAAGGAATGTCAATGGCCAGGGGTGGGGGGTGGGGCTGTAAGATTTTAAAAGTCTAAGATTTTAAAAGGGGAAAAAAACTACACTGCAGAGGCACCTATTTTGCACCTTGATTTTGCTTCCCTCCCACCAACATACTTCTAGGTGGAGGGAAGCATACTTCAAGGTTTTGCCTTGGGCCCAACGCTCTTCAACATCTTCATGAATGACCTAGATGAGGGGACTGAAGTAGCACTCATCAAATTTGCAAATGACACCAAACTGGGTAGTGGGGAATGCTAACACTTTGTAATAGAGACTCAGGAATCAGAAGGATCCTGACAGACTTGAGCATTGGGCCCTATCCAAAAGATGCAGTTCAGTGATAAGAAAAATAAGATCTGCACATAGGCAGGAGAAACCAAATGCACAGGTGCAGAGTAGGTGGTACCTGGCTCAACAGCAGGGATCAGAGGGATCAGAGGGATCAGAGGGAGCTAAGTGTCCTGGTGGGTCACCGCAGGGGATTGGGCTAGAAGACCTCCACAGTCCTTTCCAGCCCTATGATTCCATGATTCTATATAAAAAATCATGCCATAGCATGATCAAGGGGGTATTAGAAAGAAATCAATTGCTTCCAAAGTATATAAAAAGGTAAAGGTTCCCCTCGCACATACGTGCTAGTTGTTCCCGACTCTAGGAGGCGGTGCTCATCTCCGTTTCAAAGTTGATGAGCCAGCACTGTCCGAAGACATCCCCGTGGTCATGTGGCCAGCATGACTAATAAATGCCAAAGGCACACGGAACGCTGTTACCTTCCCACCAAAGATGGTCCCTATTTTTCTACTTGCATTTTTTACATGCTTTCGAACTGCTAGGTTGGCAGAATAGGGGACAAGTAATGGGAGCTCACCCCGTTACACAGCACTAGGGATTCGAACTGCTGAACTGCCGATCTTTCAATCGACAAGCTCAGCAGTTTAGCCACTGAGCCACCGCGATCCCCTCCAAAGTATATACATTCCCTTTTATATTGATGCATACTGGGCCACTCTAATTGGAGCAGCATATAAACCCTAGCTTAATAATACATAGGTAACTAAATCCCTAGATGAAAAAATAATAATAATTACAGGAATTATGTCCAAAGAAACACAGCAGGAGTTTCACTAAGTACATTCATGGGCATTTCAAAGATGCCTCCATGGAAAATCAAATGGGAGAGTAGTCAGACTAACAGATTAAATGTTGGTGAATGACCATCCATACTAAACTCTGAATCACATAAAAAAACTTTGCTTAACATAGCTTCGTAGTGCAGTCCAGTACGACATACTATTGTTAATTTGTGGTGGCTTATTCCTGCGCATACACATTTATCCAATTGTATTCATCTGTTTTCCAAAAACAAGAGTTTTGGACTAATTTAGATGTGCACTTCTTAAATGGTTTCCATCTGGGTAATGAAGTCTTCAAATCTCATAACACTGAAAGTGTAGTGAAACATTAATATAACATTCCGATGTCTGGAGGTTAATTGCTTTTAGCACTTGAGAATCTCAGCTTCAGCCATGAATGAACTGCAGGTTTTACTGACAAGCAAGAATAGAAAGAGCTATTAAAAATATGAGCATTAAAATTATGATTGTTTTCAAAAGTCTGCCATTTTATGCCATTCACATCTCATTTCCTGTACAATATAGTAGATGTGGTGATCAAAAAAAGTGAAGAAAACCCATTTAAAATAATGTACAATGTGATATTAATTTTCATAACCTCATCTGGAGAAGCAGTAACCCTGAATTTGTATTCTTCATTTAATTTAGCCTTCCCCAACAATAAACCATCTAGACATGTTGGACTACAACTCCCACGACTCTGCTTAACAACTAATTCCCACAAAACTGCCAAATAATTTACTAAGACTGTATTACTATTATTCTTCTCTTCCTTACTAGTATCTATCTCTTCCCACTTATTACTATAACCATGCCGCTTGTATCTTTCAATTTATATTGTTTTTATTTGTTTCCTAGTACAATTTGATAGCTTATTAGTAACCTTGACTATCACTAAGTGTTGTATCTTTTTATTCTTGATGAATGTATTTTATTCTCCTTATGTACACTGAGAGCATATACACCAAAGACAAATTCCAATCACACTTGGCCAATAAAGAATTCTATTATTCTGAAATATTCATAGCAATGGGAACGTCTGAACAGAATCTCAGGGAATCAGATAGAATCACCACCTTCTTCCAGCCAGAGGGGGGAAAAGATACACTTTGAATAATTTATAGACTAATTAAATGAGAAACATTTTCTGCCTTTTTTTTTTGGACATGCAAAGAACATGCAACCACAGAGTTTTCAGTGGCAGCCTCTTCTACAAAAACATGCTTGGTTTTGAGATTTCTCATCTTTCTCTCTGAAACTCAACACTGACCATTCATCATCATCACATAATACCATACTATTGTTTTCAGGATGGATACTGAAACGTTTACTTTTCTAGAGATAAGTATTTTACTTTTCCAAGAAGTCCAGTTTGTTCCTGTTACAGCAAACTTGGCTCTGTTGTTTCAAGGTTGAAAGTATAAAATACACACTGGAATTGTTCCACCAAGTGGTGGATGGAAAACTTGACTGCACTCGTATTTTTTTGACATGCTTTCTGGAATTTTGCAATGGAATCAGTTTTTACACAAAAATGCAAGACAGACCTCAAAATTCCATATGAGAACAACAGGGCCTTCTATTTAATTGGCTCTGACAATGAGACACACATTCTTATATCCATTGTACTCTGAAGATACAAGAATTTTCTTCTTTGTCTCTGATCTGTATTCCCACTTCCTATTTATTTCTATTATTCTGCCATATAATTTCACACTCCCCCTTTCTATTCATTTATCATGAAATAGTTCAGCTTCTTTCAGCTCTTCAAAGTTTGTCCCAGTTTGGCTGGCTTCTTGGGAATGGAAGGACAAACTATTCTCAATGCTAAAATTCCAGAGTTAGCTGGGAAATTTGATGATAGACTAGAGTCTCCAAAACTTTACAGACACTGATGATAACAGAATATCAGAGTTAGGAGGGATCTTGGAGGTCTTCTAGTCAAACCCTCTGCTCAAGCAGGAGACTGTATACCAGAGATACCAGTCAAACTCAAGGCCCGGGACCCGGATCCAGCCTGTGGGGTGCTTAGATCTGGCCTGCGGGGCTGCCCTGGAAACAGCAAATGACCAGCCCACAGTGCCTCTGCCAATGAAAATGGAGCTCGGGAGGACCACGAGCAACCCTCACAAGCTCCATTTTCGCTGTCAGAGGGTTGCAGGAGGCCGTCGCAGCCAAAAACAGAGCTCGGGAGTCCATTTTTGCTGGCAGAGCGCTCGGACCACCACAAGCACCCCCAACATGAGTGATGTTGAGCTGGCCACGCCCACCCTGGCCACACACACCCTGCCCCCCCCAAGATCAAACACAACCCTGATGCGACCCTCAATGAAATCGAGTTTGACACCCCTGCTCTATACCATTTCAGACAAGTGGTTGTTCAATCTCTTCTTTTAAAATTATAAAAATAAAATGTTCTACCTCTGTGTTTTACAACATGGGCATTTTCTAGATGCATGAAATTCAATTCTGGGGAATTCTGGGAACTAAAGTTCACATATGTAGACTTTGCCCCAGGAGAACTGCAGTGCAGTTGGCATTGTGTATTCTAATTCTTATTGTATTTTGATGGGGATTTTATGCCCAATTCATATTTTATATACATATTATTAAAAATAAATCCAGCGGAATTGTATAGCATTTATTTCAAAAGCTAGTCTTAATTATATCATCCCCAGGGAAATAGAGAAAAGAAATATTAGCCACAATGCTGATTAACTCCACACTTCTTAAAATAAGAATTCATATTAAAAAGGCAGTTTAAAAATACTATTACGATATTCGTTTACATCAACTTTATATGTAGATCTCAATAGTTTCTACAAGAATCTGATCTGATTATGATCTTTTGGAAAATGTAGTCTTATTTATTTGTTGTATTTCTATATTGTTAAAATATAAGCAATTATAATGACTTACTACTACAGATAGATCCAGTCGTTGGATCTACCAACGACTTAACAAACCAGAGTTTAGCACATTAAGTTTCATAGAATCTGAATTTCATAGAATCAAAAGCCTTTTAAAAAGTTGCAAATATGATTTTTTTACAGAACATCAAGAACCACCGATTTTGCAGGATGATGGTAGAAGTTTTCCTGCCCAGGCTTCTAAGTTATTCTAAACTTGGGCAGGAAAAACCAGATGCATGAATAAGTGGTACCTGGATTTAGCAATAGTATTACCAAAAAGGATCTGAGATGAAAATGAGCCAGCAATGTGTTGCAGCTGCCAAAAAAACTCAACAAAGTTTTGGGCTGCATCCACTAAAACTGGTGTTACGATTACTATACCGCTCTGTGTTATACTGGTCAGGCCATACCCAAACCACTATATCTAGTTGTGGTCACCATAATACAAGGATACTGAAGAACTGTGAGTTTAGAGAAGAGCAACAAACAAAGTAAAGAGCTTGGAGACTAAATTCTATGATGAATGATTAGTTTAATCTAGAGAAGAAAAGGCTGAGAGAGATGACAGCAATCTTCTAGTACATGAAGGGATGTCACAGAATAATAAGTGTTGATTCCCTCTCTAAGACTAAGACAAGAACAAATGGATGGAAGCTTAACAGAAAGAGACCCAAATTTGAAAGAAGGATGAATTTCCCGACTGTGCAAGCTATTAAGCAGTGCAACAGCCCACTTCCTGAAATTGTGGTTGCTCCATCACTGGAGATTTCCAAGAAAAGGTTGGGAAAAGTTTGTATGAGGATTGCACTTTTTCTAGTAAGGTTCTACATTTAGGCAAGAAAAACAAAATGCACAGGTACAGTATATGTGGTACCTTGCTCAATAGTAATAACTGTGAGAGGGATCTTGGGAGTCCTAGTGGACAACCATTTAGATATGAGCCAGCAGTGTGCAGCAGTTGCCAAAAAAGCCAACACAGTTCTAGGCTGCATAAACAGAGGGATAGAATCAAGATCACGTGAAGTGTTAATACCACTTTATAATGCCTTGGTAAGGCCACACTTGGAATACTGCATCCAGTTTTGGTCGCCAAGATGTGAAAAAGATGTGGAGACTCTAGAAAGAGTGCAGAGAAGAGCAACAAAGATGATTAGGGAACTGGAGGCTAAAACATATGAAGAACGGTTGCAGGAACTGGGTATGTCTAGTTTAATGAAAAGAAGGACTAGGGGAAAAATGATAGCAGTGTTCCAATATCTCAGGGGTTGCCACAAAGAAGAAGGAGTCAAACTATTCTCCAAAGCACCTGAGGGTAGAACAAGAAGCAATGGGTGGAAACTAATCAAGGAGAGAAGCAACTTAGAACTAAGGAGAAATTTCCTGACAGTGAGAGCAATTAATCAGTGGAACAATTTGCCTCCAGAAGTTGTGAATGCTCCAACACTGGGAGTTTTTAAGAAGAGGTTGGATAACCATTTGTCTGAAGTGGTGTAGGGTTTCCTGCCTAAGCAGGGGGTTGGACTAGAAGACCTCCAAGGTCCCTTCCAACTCTGTTATTCTATTCTATTCTATTCTATTCTATTCTATTCTATTCTTCAAAAAGTAGGAACATATACAGAATATAGAGGAAGTGAAGGTGTGGTTAGGGTGAAAACGACAAATTATTTTCATGGGCAGGGATGCTTACAACCTAAGTTTACAACCCATCCTTGGAAAGAAGCTCCACAGTTAAGATTCACATGGAAGTTAAGCTCAAGAAACAGCACAAAGCTTATAGGGTTTAAAGTCCAACATCCCTAAAGCGCATCGATTTTCAGGAGGTTGGCTTAATTACATCTGACAAGAAGGACTAGTAACGCGAGGAACTATCTGTACTTCTAAAACTGGAAGGTGGGAGGCTATATTTAAATAAATTGCACCGACTCTCTCGGGTTTTTTTTTTTTGTTGTTGTTGTTGTTGGGCAGATCCCCCCCCCCCCCCCCAAAAAGCCCTCCTTGGGGAAAGTTTTTGTTTTTTTTTTTTTTTTTTTTTTTTAAGTTCCAGTCCCTGGAGCATTCCCGTTCGAGAGCTACTGAGACTTGACCCTGCATAGCTTTTCCAAACCACCCAAACTCGGCCGGGCATCGCCACCTAAAAATTATCCTTTTTGCATCGCTCCCCTCAGCCGGGCCGTCCCACCCTTTGCCAAAGTCTTACCAAAAACTGAAACATGGTTGCCAGCTGTCACTCCCCGTCCCTTCCAAGCGGAAGGGAAGATTTACAGCTGATTACTTTTTTTTCTCTCTCTTCCGGATCCCCGCCTTCCTTACTGCGTTCGCCTCTCGCATTGGCCGAATGGCTTGATGGGCTCCTCCCTTTTCCAATACCTATTTCCTTCCCTTCCTTTTTTTTTTTTTGCCCCGTTTCAGGTTGCCCTCCCTTCCGAGGGCAAGCTAAAGACGCTGTTGGCTTTGGGGGGCGGGAGGGCGGCGTTATATATTGCAATGTATTCGGAAGCGGCCGCCGCTCCTGCCGTGGAGCGATTGATGGAGAATTTGCTCAGGGTGCAGAACTGAGCAGAAAGTCCCTTTGGAAAATAGAGAAGGATCAGGCGTCATGTCACTCAAGGCGATCGTGTTTGATTCCCCCTGATGTCAGTGGAGAAATAAAACAGCTAAAAGGAAGCTTAGTGTGCAAGGAACTGTGTTGGAAAGCCCTGTCGAATATAGCAATACTTGAGAAGTGGCTATAGGTTTGATCGAAATCCTGAAGATTAGTCAAATATATATTTATTAATGTGATTTATATGCCGCCCTATCTCCAGCCGGACTCAGGGCAGCTCACAACAGTAAAAAACATCTAATGAAAAAGTTAAAAAGAAATTGAATCCAAATCAGTTTCATATAGGAATAATAACAATTCTGGTATAATAATATTTTCCCCCTCTTTTATAAAAGATTTTTAAAATTTTAAATATCTTTTAGTATTTTATATATTCAATTTTAAATTGGTTTTAAAAGTTTGGGGTTTTAAATTTGTCGGGGCCAAAATTATTTAATTCGATTTTATTCTATTTTTAAATTTTGTATTGTATATGTTTGGCTGTGCACCGCCCTGAGTCCTTCGGGAGTAGGGCGGTATAGAAATCTAATAAAATGAAATGAAATGAAATAATCCTGTTTTCCTGTTTAACAGAGAGTAAGCACCATTGATCTGCCCACCAGCCTTCCCAAATTATTATTATTATTATTGTTATTATTATTATTGTTGTTGTTGTTGTTATTGTTATTGTTAAAATATGAAACTCAGTCAACTGAACATTCAAAAATGCATCACAAATACCATTAACTGGTGCTAATAGTTAATAAGGGTTGCTGCCAGTGTCCTAAGTATCAACCAAGTACCTTCTTAAAATGTACGATGTTCCAAGTAGCGCAGTTTTTTGCGGTTCTGCTGGTGGTATTGCAGGAAGCTGCAATTCCTTGATGTGTTTTGTAAAATTCATGGACATGGTACCAAGTGCCCGATGACAATGGGTATCACTGTTACATGTTTCATCCATAGCCATGTAGTTTTGATGGCCAGGTCATGATATTTCATGATTTTTTTCCAGTTCTTTTTCTTCGATTCTGGCATCTCCTCCTACAGCGATATCAATAAACTGTATTATTGTTATCTTTATTATTAGTAGTAGTAGTAGTAGTAAAGAAGAGAAGAGAAGAGAATTCAATTCAATTCAATTCTTTATTGGCCAAGTGTGATTGGACACACAAGGAATTTGTCTTGGTGCATGTGGTTTGAGTTGATCCAGAACAGATACCTGAGCCTTAAAAATGTTCATGTTTTGAACAGAGCACGACATACTTAAGAGATGAACTATCAAATGAAAGAAATTTAAAGACATTGAGATTCTGTAATATGTTACATCAGTCTCGAATGTTCAGGAAAATAATGCCAATTCTGTTAAGAAAAGAAAAAAGTTGAGTCATTTGTTCTGCTATATCATTTATTTATTTATTTATTTATTTATTTATTTTGTCAACAAATACAAGGAAACAAGTATCAGTATAGACATAGACATGGACACATGAAAAAAATGGCACAAATAAATGGATATAAATAAGCAAAACATACCCATAAACACATAAAATGAGTACATATAAATGGGGACAGTAGGACAGGGACGGTAGGCGCACTGGTGCGCTTATGCACACCCTCTTAGGGACCTCTTAAGAAACGTGTAAGGTCCACAGTAGACAGTTTAAGGTAAAAGGTATGGGGGTTAGAGAAACTAACAACAGGATCACGTAGAGTGTTCCAGACATTTACTACTCTATTGCTGTAGTCGTATTTTCTGCAATCAAGATTAGAGCGGATTACGTTTAGTTCATATCTATTGACAGCCCTTGTGCTTTTGCGGTTGAAGTTAAAGTAGTCATTAACAAATAGGACGTTATGGTAGATAATCTTGTGTACTAAGCTTAGGTTGGAATGTAGACGGCGTAGTTCAAGGTTATCCGGGCCTAAAATTTCAAGCCTGGTGGCATAAGGAATTTTATTGCGAGCAGAGGAGTTGAGTACTCTTCTTGTAAAATACCTCTGGACCCTCTCTAATGTATTAATGTCCGAAATACAGTGTGGGTTCCAAGTAGGTGAGCAGTATTCTAGGATAGGTCTGGAAAAGGTTTTTGTATGCCCTAGTGTTGCGATCATCCTGGTGGGCTTCTCATGAGGGGTCCAGTTTAGAAAAAACACAGGGCAAGTGTTTCTCAGGATGAGAGAGCCCAGAGCTGACACCGTGACCCTCTTTTATTATACAAGGGTATAGGGCATATCAGAAGGCATGATTACAGCTATACATTCTCATACTACATCTGTGATACAAAGGATTTTCTCCATATCTGGACATAACTTTCACATCCTACCATATTACAGTAAATCACGTGGATTCTAGGAAAGCGATACTTAAGGTAAAAACAAAACTTAACTCTGGCTATGTTATCATATTTGGCTTCGTTCCCAGCATCCATCACCTGCCAACCGAGAGGCCCCGTTACCAGAGATCTTTCTCAGTTGTCAGGAATGTTCTACAAGGAGATGTCTCTGCTATGCAGGCACAGCCTATGTTATGAACAAAGAGAGAACGAATAGGGCCCTTCAGAGAGTATCCAACTGAACCCGCTTTTCATAGTTCGGTGCTAAGTTCCATACACGTGTCCAACCAGCTAAACTGGTCTATACATGTACTATGGCCACTGCATTCCCACACCTAGTTAGACGTATAGCGTTACCAGAGAGAAAACATGGTAAAATAAGGTTGACAACTCTTAATGCCTTTTTAACAATGTTGTTACAGTGAGCTCTGGGGCTTAGATCTTTTGAAATGAGTACTCCTAGGTCCTTGACTGAGTGTGGGTCATTTTTTAGATTGTTTCCGCCCAGCTTGTATTTGATGTTCTGATTTTTATTGCCAATATGCAGGACTGAGCATTTGTTAGCAGAGATTTGGAGTTGCCAATTGTTTGACCATTCAGATACATAATCTAGGTCATTTTGTAGGGTAGTAGAATTGTCTGTGGTGTTAAATAGTTTTACATCGTCGGCAAAGAGGACGCAGCTGCTTATAATATGAACACAAAGGTCGTTTATATAAAGCAGGAAGAGTGTTGGTCCTAGAACGCTGCCTTGGGGAACACCCAGTGGTGGGTCCTCCCGGTTCGGTCCGGTTCGGCCGAGCCAGTAGCGGTGACGATATGATGTCACCGAACCGGTTCTCCCCCCCGCCCTCCCACCCCCCCACCCCACCCCCACGTTATTCTTACCTTTTATTTGGTCCCACCGCCAATCTATTGCTGCCTCCTGAGTCCCAGCTGATGACTAGAGGGAAAAAAACTGTTTAAACTCTTGCCGCGGGGCTTCAAAGGGCCGTCCTACAGCTGATCAGTGTTAAAAGCAAACAAATGAGTCAGGTTGTAAGTGCGAGGACTGGTCGTAAGTGCGAGGACCTTCCAGAAATGACTGACCAGCTAGCCATGCCCACTTAGTCACATGACCTCCAAGCCACACCCACAAAATAAGCCACTCCCACAGAAACGGTAGTAAAAAAAATTAGAACCCACCCCTGGGAACACCACTGTTAACTGGTGCAGACTTTGATATAGCGTTTCCAATTTTAACTACTTGTTGCCTGTTTGATAGGGATGTAGCTATCCACTTGTGCAAAGATCCAGAAATGATGTAAGAACTTAGTTTTAACAGAAGTTTGTCATGTACCACTGAATCAAAGGCTTTGCAGAAGTCTATGTAGATTGCATCTATTGTTTTACCATGGTCGAGTTGAGAGGTCCAAATGTTTTTACAATGTATGAGTTGCAGATTACATGACAAATTTTTTCCTGAAACCAAATTGCTTTGAAATCAAATCATCATTACATTTTTTCTTAATCTTAAAATTAATTTTTACTTGATATAAAATGCATATTTGATTACATTTTATTCTAAGTAAAGATTAAGAAAAAATAAGAGTTTAATAATTAATTTAATTACACTTTAATTACACAGGTTATTATACATGTATAACTGACCTAGCCAGTCAAGGAAAATGAGAAATAATTCTAGCGTAGCAATAGAAAATACATTAATTTTGTATACTCCGTATAAATGCATTCTATGAAATGAACACAAGATGGCACCTCACATCCACGTTAGTTGATTTTTTATTTCACGTTTCTTTTATTTAGTAGGGTGATAGGGATAAAGAGAAACTGTTTGAAAATTACAATTCTGTAAAAAAAAATATGTATTGAACTTTAAAAAAGAAAAGAAAACTAAAGAAATGCTTTCAAACAATCCACTTCTGGTTCTAGTTCCATTTCTGGGTAATTCATCATAATTTTTTTTAAAAAAAATATCAATGCCTGATATTCCACAAATATCAGGCATTGAAGTTTCCAAGTTTCATTCAGTGTTTTCATCCTTATTTTTGTTGTAGTAATTCTGTAAATAGGTTCTGAAAGTGTCCTTGGAGTCCAATCCACTGAGCTTCTCAGTTAAGTACTAGGAAAGTGCACTGCATGGATTCAAGCCATTGTGTTCCAGTATATCCACTGCATAATTCATAATTCAGTGCACTGCATAAAGATGCCAATTTCTAATGTATATTAGAAATATATAATGTATACCGCATATAAAAGTACATCTGAATATTTTCCTCAAGAAGTACCAGACTTCTCTTAAAACAAGTTATATGCTGATATTTTGGATTGAAGACATTAGATGGCGCTGTTTTTCTTCTTAAACTAATTGAATAGCTTTTCTAAGGTACAGTAAGAACATTTGTAGCTCTTTTTAACTTTGTAATTTTGTGTGTCTTTATAATCCAATTAGGAATTTAGTCACAGTTTAAGAAAAGCCTTTTCTTTTTTTATGACAGTTTACTTCAGTTACTAAGTTACTTGTTTTAACTTAGAAGGATAATAACTCAACAGTTACTTTGATCACTAAAGTATTTTGAACAAATACTTTACTTATTTACTTAAAAACAAATACTTATGCAAAGTCCTCCTGAAAACATTCCGTAGGAAACTCTTCTGGATTCTTCTCCTGAAACTTCTGAACTACTTTCCAGCCCAGAATTTCCTTATTATAGTTCTTCATTGACATTTGAGAAGAAGAAAAAACACTATTTAGTTCATGTCCTTTAAGTTATTGTAAATTAACTAACTCTCTATGGAAAAATTACCACTTAAATAAACATTTACAGAAAATAAGTATGCAAGGATCCAACTACAAAAATCAATATAGAAAACAGATATTAATACTGTTCAAAACATGGATAAAATAAAATGTAACAATCCTAATAAATTAACTAGTGTGGTTATAAAGAAGAAAAAAGTTAATTATTTTACATTATTATAATACCACTGTAATTATTACAGCTCTATAAAAGTTATAACAACATAATTCTTAACAAAGTTTATTTATTAAATGTATTGATTACATTTTTATGCTGCCCATCTCTCATATAAGGCGACTCTGGGCACTCACAGGTTATAAAAGTTAAACTTTAATCACATAAAATCATGTTGATTAATGTTCTCTCTGCTGGTAAAGAGCTAATTCCAAAGCTGAGAATCAACAAATTTTGTTAACCAACCTATACACAAGTGCCAAGGGACGCAGTGGCTCAGTGGCTAAGACGCTGAGCTTGTCAATCAGAAGGTTGGCAGTTCAGCGGTTCAAATCCCTAGTGCTGCATAACGGAGTGAGCTCCTATTACTTGTCCCAGCTTCTGCCAACCTAGCAGTTTGAAAGCACATAAAAAATTCAAGTAGAAAAATAGGTAACACCTTTGGTGGGAAGGTAGCAGCATTCCGTGCGCCTTTGGCCTTTAGTCATGCTGGTCACATGACCATGGAGACGTCTTCAGACAGCGCTGGCTCATCAGCTTCAAAACGGAGATGAGCACCGCCCCCTAGAGTTGGGAACGATGAGCACACATGTGCGGGGAAACCTTTACATTACACAAGTGCCAACACATATTCGTCAATTGCCTAAGCAGACTATATCACAATTCTTGATAACAAACACATTTTGGGGGGGGGTTGTTATTCCATTCCATTTTCAGTTCTAACATATTAATGCACAGAAAGATGCATTATAGGAGAAATTATAGATTGGACAGGACCACATGACTCTGCCAATGCAGTATTTTTCAAACTTGGCCACTTGAAGATGTGTGGCCTTCAATTCCCAGAATTCCCCAGCCAGAATACCAGGAGTTGAAGTTCACACATTTTAAAGTTGTTAAGGTTAAGAAACACTGGTCTGAAGAGATGAGCTGCAGAGGAAAATAAGAGTTCCAGTAGCCAAATTATTTCTTACAGCTTGAGGCTTAAATAATTTGTTTATTTGTCCTAAGGCCATTATAAAAGAATTAATTCAAACTGCTATTTTTTTAGATAAAAACTTGAACAATCTATATAAGGAATACATTGGTATAGCAAATGGCTGAGCCCATATGTTCAAAGGGTAGATATGTTTCTCACCAGAAACTCATTAGAACTTCACACTCTGGCCTTACTTCCTGCTTTAAGATAGTTAATAATTATGGCTTCTAGGGAGTGTCTCACAGGGCCCCTCATTCTTAACCCCAGTGTGAAAGCGACATTGGATTCTCCATTCCTTATGATGCCTTTCTTTGCCATTACAAGTCAAAGAACAAAAACTGAAATAATTTCAATAATATTACATCTTGGCAAGGTATCATCACCCCTTCTATCCAGTGGTGGGTTGCCCCCGGTTCGGACCGGTTCGCAAGAACCGGTAGTACAACTGGTGGGAGGCTCTGCCCACCACCTCGGATATCGTCATCTGTGCATGCACAGAAGCTTCTGCGCGATCCCATTGCGAACCGGTAGTAAAGGTAAGTAGAACTCATCCCTGCTTCTATCTCTCCTTGGGAAATACTCTCAAAAGAGATTAACAAAAACCATACTTTACCTATTAAAACCCATCCAGTGCTTGGGGAAAAAAAAAATACCTAGCTGCCCAGTTGTGATGAGCTGCTTATCAATGATTTAAAACATAAAACATTAAAAGCATAAATCAAAGAAAATATGTTCCAGCAGACCATTGCCAGAAGAAATATCCATCTTGGTTCGTTTCCAAGTGAAGAACAAGACATTGGATTCATGGAAGTTGTTCGGAAAGATGGTTTTTAATGGTGGACAGGACCACATGGCTTGAGGTCCTGGGGGGGGGAAAGGGAAGAGATGCTGAGAGTGCCCCGGTTTTATGCCCTCTCTGGGCTTTTGAATTTGAGCTTGTATTCTGATTGGTTGTCAGACTCCCATGGGGCCATGCAGGGGTAACTCTGTAGGCTGTCCGGTGTCCCAGGCTTGGTTGACTCTTGCTGGGTGATGATGTAAAGAAAGGGCTTTGGTATTCCTATTATGGCTGTGCCAGAAGAAGGTAGATCTTTTTTATGTAGACTAGACTGGCCCAGGCCTTATGGCCCATTGACAAAGGTGTGGGGGTGAGTTTCTGTCTCCCTTTTAGGGGAAATATTCTGCTCTTTTAATATTTCCTAAAATATACTGCTCAAAAAAATAAAGGGAACACAAGCAGAAGACATCCGAGATCTGAATGAATGAAATAGCCTTATTAAATACTTTGTTCTTTACATAGAGTAGTTTATACATTGCTCAAACAACTAAAGGGAACACAAAACTACTCTATGTAACGAACAAAGTATTTAATAAGGGTATTTTGTTCATTCAGATCTCGGGTGTCTTCTGCTTGTGTTCCCTTTATTTTTTTGAGCAGTGTATTTCATTTTCCTAGGAGAGGGGTGAGTGCTAACTTCCTACACCTTACGATTGTGCTGTTTTGCTCCATAATAAGATGAGACAGAGAGTTCCAAGTGGATATGACCAATTACAGGAAGATTTTACAAAGATGTGAGGTCTTCACGAGCAGCCTGAAGTACTGTATGAAATAAAAGCAATGTCCTAACTTGGACAGAGAAGTAATAACATGAGACAATGAGACGTCAGAATCACATAGAAAATAAATCAAACCTAGAGCAGTATTTCTGGCTAGACAGCAACAGAATTGGAAGATTCCAGAAACAAATATTTCATCTACTCCATTTAATAGACTTCCTCCAGCATTTGAGGGAAGATTGCACCTCAATTATAGGCTGCTGAGGAGATAGTAAACCCCGCTCCTTTTTCAAGCTCAGCACTCCAGGTTTCCATCTAAGTTCTCTGTAGTTTTGAAAAATCCAACCATTTTTTTTGTCTCCAAGTAGAGGAAGAGAATGGGGATATCTTCATTTTTTATTATTTTGCCTGTTTTGTGGTCTCACTAGTTCTTGGTGTAGGCAAGTGTTATTTCTTACAGATGTTCCAATGCATCATTGTTGCTCTCTATCTTTAATTCTAACACTATGAATTCATTTGAAACCAATCAGTTAGCAATGTCTCCCATAATCACATAGTAACTTAGATTTTTACCACTTGCATAATTTACCATTTGCATAATTAATGCAATACACAAAAAACTATTCCCCCTTATCTTGCTTATGTGCTAATTATTTCATAAAGGAATAATTTCAGCATACTGTATGCTTGGGAGGCCTCCAATGAGATAAGAATCATAACAATTCCTTAAATAAGTTTTTGATTGTAATATATAATATTTTATATTTCTGCACTGAATCAGTGATTTAATGAATCCAATTTTGCCCAAACTGATATAAATTGTTGTGATAATACCAAGCAATTATGACTGTAAATATGTTTGTATCTTAATTAATAATAGGTCTTAATTTTAGCATAATTGGTTACCTTCATCCCCCTCCTACTCTAATATGAATTACTAAATCTAATAGAACTGACATTAAGACTTGATTCTAAGAACATAGCCCACAGAGTAAATCCCATTAATTTTAGGGTTATAATTCCTTATAAAAGTTTGTACCACATTCAAAATTTGAGTTTCTCTTAACATAAAATCTTAATATTCTAAGATTGTTATAAGCAATCTGTTAAATATAAACCTGTCTCACATGATTAATGAGAAATTACCGTATTTCTTTATTTTTTTATTTATAGTGTATTGATTATTGCTATTGATAAATTGGATTTTAACCAAACTCTGCAGTTTTTAAGAATATAAGATATTCAACTACATAAACTTAATTAACGAAACATGAAAATCTTTATATAATAAATTTAGTCTTACATTATTTAATTCTGTGGTGTTTGTAAATTCCTTTGTTATTCATTCCTTTTAATTATTCTTTTTTGCCCTATTCCTCTTTTTTTTTTACTTCCTTTCTCAAAAACCACAACATTAACACTATGGTGCGGCAGCATATTGGACTGAGGGGGTTACATCACCTTATCCCCTGAAAATGTTATGCTCGCTAATTTTTTTTTTTAATTTGATTTATATGCCGCCCTTCTCCGGAGACTCAGGGTGGCTTACAATGCGTTAAGCAATAGCCTTCATACTTTTGTATATTTATACAAAGTCAGCTTATTGCCCCCACAAACTGGGTCCTCATTTAACCTACCTTAGAAAGGATGGAAGGCTGAGTCGACCTTGAGCCTGGTAAGATTCGAACCTGCAGAAATTGCAGGCAGCTGTGTTAATAACAGGGTGCATTAAACCACTGTACTACCAAGGCTCTTCTCTGGTTTATTTCAGGGCTCATTTTAAAATGTTGGCTTAAATAACTTTAAATGGTTCAATGCCTAATTTTCGGAGAAGTTTCTGCTTTTGTCATGGACCTGTCTGAACCTTAAGAAACCTGTCAGATGATGGCAGTGATTGAACGGAGGGAGAAATCTGAGAATTGCAACTGTTCCTAAAATGACTCCCAATTCCTGGTCAGCACCAGGTGGCCTCTGTCTATAGCCAGTTCTCCTTTTGGAAGGTATTCTGCAGAAAAGGTAAGTGAAGGCAGGTGGGGGGGAGGGGTAGGAGGCATGAGATGTGGGACCTGGTAGGGCGGGAAGCAGGCATAACACCTGCGGGGACTCAGTCAGGTATGAAGTCTGTAGCGAATTGGCTTTGATGAATTGGCTGCAGTGAGTTTGCTGTGGCGAGTTGTCCCAAGTACAATAAAGTGGCTACTTGAAGAGGTCAGGAAACAACTAATAGGATTCAATATGATTTCATACCTGGTAGTAGAGTAGTAGCTTAATAATAAGTGACCAATTCCCAATAGAAGAATCACTTTTCATCAAATAGAATGATTAGAATTCCTTAAATACTTAATTATTTAGTATTAGACATAAAAACATATAATAGCAATAGCACTTAGACTTATATACCGCTTCATAGTGCTTTTACAGCCCTCTCTAAGCAGTTTACAGAGTCAGCAAATTGCCCCCAATAATCTGGGTCCTCATTTTACCCACCTCGGAAGGATGGGAGGCTGAGTCAACCTTGAGCCTGGTGAAAATTGAACTGCCAAACTGCAGCGTACATACTAATGTTTTTTGTTCTATTTTTGCTTCTCTGTGTTACGATGATGACTCATTAGTTTGCTAATGATTTATGGATTGGCATGCTGACTAATATCTCATTCAGGATATATTCTGCAGAAAGCCAGATGATTATTGAGTATTTTGTTTCTGTTAAAATTGTATAGCACTAGATTTGTAATATTTAATAACTAATATCTCATTTAGGATATAATGTATTCTGCAGAAAGCCGGATGATTATTGAATATTCTACTTCAGCTAAAATTATATAGCACAAGTTATAAAGAAAGAAAGCAAATTATGATCTGATACAGAACAATAAAAGGTTCTAACCCATAACTGTAAAATCTGTTTTCTCAGTATTTAAGAATTTAGTAGCATGCTCTTTTGCATATTAAATAGAAATAATCCCTAATATGTAAATGTGATTATAAACTGAAATCCTACCTTGAATGTCTGGGAAATAATCCCCACTGAACTCAGTGGGACTTTCTTGAAAAGACTTTATATGCACTGTAACTAATAGGGGGTTTTCTCTTAAAAGCTGCAGTCCAGAAGCCAGAACAGCTGTCTACCATAGATCCACCCACTCAGTGTGAAATCTTTATAGAAATGTTATATTTGGAGCCTTTCATTATTTTACAATGCTAGTGTCATGCATGAAAGAGTAACATCTGCCTGGGATATGTGATAGCAAGTTTAAATGTTAATGTATCTCTCTCTCTCTCTGAGAGAGAGAGACAGAGAGACAGAGAGAGACAGAGAAAGAGACAGAAAGAGAGAGGGGGAGGGAGAGAGAGACAGACAGACAGAGAGGGAGAGACAGAGAGACATGCCCTCATTTAAGTAAAAAAAATTGTTAAACATCCCAAATCACCTTTGGGTGCAATCCATTTGTTCAAAAGGTATATTTCTGCTGTTGTTTTTTTTTGTCTAAAAATTCTAAATTAAAATAGCCATTATACGAAAAGGAATAGTTAAGGAAGCACTGAAATAAACAAAGATGCAAAGTGTTTGTCCCGTTTATCATGGCTGCATCTCAAAATAAGCCAGGACATACATAAAAATCATATCTACCATGTTTCCCTGAAAATAAGACCCTGTCTTATATTTTTGAACCCTGAAATAAACGTTTGGTCTTATTTTCGGGGAGGTCTTATTATTTTGTGGCACGTGGAGCAAGATGGGGCTCTTCTTGCCATCTTACCTGATTTCCAGCTCTGTCTCCCTAACCCTAACCAGAGAAAATGGTGGGACCAGCTGCCCATGCATTTAAATATTTTCGGGGAGGGCTTATTTTCAGGGGAGGGCTTATTTTCGGGGGAGGGTTTATTTTCGGGGGAGGGTTTATTTTCAGGAGAGGGTTTATTTTCAGGGGAGGGCTTATTTTCAGGGGAGGGCTTATTTTCAGGGGAGGGTTTATTTTCGGGGGAGGGTTTATTTTCAGGGGAGGGCTTATTTTCAGGGGAGGGCTTATTTTCAAGGGAGGGCTTATTTTTGGGGGAGGGTTTATTTTCAGGAAAATTTGGTAGGTGAGTGTGTGTGTTTGTATGTATTCACATAATTGCCCTACCCCATTTTTCTGTGTAAAAGATTGAACACCAATCATGGATATTAGACAGTCTGTATTATAAATTTCGGATTTGAACCGCTGAACTGCCAACTTGTCATTCCTGTTACTTGTCCCAGCTTCTGCCAACCTAGCAATTCAAAAGCACATAAAAAATGCAAGTCAAAAAATAGGGACCATTTTTGTAGGGAAGGTAACAGCGTTCCGTGTGCCTTTGGCATTTAGTCATGCTGGCCACATGACCACAGAGATGTCTTTGGACAGCGCTGGTTCTTCGGTTTTGAAACGGAGATGACCACTGCCCCCTAGAGTCAGGAACAACTAGCACATATGTGCGAGGGGAACCTTTACTTTTACCTTATTATAAATTTCAACTTGCAACTGACATTTCTAACTTTCAGGCTTCCAGTAATTTCATATTTTCCTCCTACAATAAAAAGGCAAAATTGATATTTTGTGCATTGGCTGCTAAAGGAAAAATATCATTTTTTTTCTCACGATTCTAATGTGAAAAACAAAAGAAATTTGGATTTTAGGTTTATATACTACCCCATAGTGCTTTACAGCACTCTCTGAGCAGTTTGCAATGTAGAAGTATTATTTGCATATTGCCCCCAACAAACTAGGTCCTCATTTTACTGATCTCAGAAGGATGGAAGGCTGAGTCAACCTTAAGCCCCATCAGAATCAAACTCCAGGTTGTGGGCAGAATTTGTGTGCAATGCTGCCCTTTAAGCAATGAGCCACCAGGTCTCTCCGCAAAGCACAAGGAATATGCCACACACAACCACAACTCCATGTAAACGCATATTAGAGGTATGCATGCTTCAAAAATGATTTCTCAGAAGTGCTTCAGAGCTCATATACAGTATGCATGAGCACAGCATTTCTTTAGTATTAATTCATAAAGCCTGAAAACATATATAGGTTTTTTTGAGAGTTAGATTAATTGACTCTTTAAAGCAGCCCTATCTATTTTGTAGGTTCATGAAAAAAATTGATTACTTAGTGGTAAAGACCACACGTGCCTTAATTATTATTATTATTATTATTATTATTATTATTATTATTATTATTATTATTATTTTATTTCTATACCGCCCTTCTCCTGAAGGACTCAGGGCGGTGTACAGCCTATTTAAAAACACAAGACAAAACATTGATTAAAAATTTAAAATAATTAAATAAATTTGGCTCAATTTAAAACCCCACAAATTTAAAATACCCCAATTTAAAATTATTATGTTGATAGCCCAGCCTGGCGGAACAACAGGGTCTTCAGTGCGCAGCGAAACACCCGGAGGTCGAAGATCTTACGTATTTCCTTCTGAAGTAATTTTTCTAAATAATTTTTGAAGCAGGCACTGCCTGAGCATATATGTATGTGCATTAAAAGCTCTATTACTCATTTTGAATACAAGTGTGACAAACATTTCTAAGTCAAAACATTGACTCATTTGCCAATGTATCATTCTAAGTGTGTCAGAAGAGATCCTCTGACATCCTGAGAACAACTTGACTTCAAAATGTTTTTCTGTCCTCTAGGTTCAGATGTTGCTACTAAGACTTTCTGAAACTCTTAGTAGTTTTGAACTTTAATTCAGTTTACTTTAGGACTTCACTTTAATATAAATTGTTTTGCCAATGTCTTTTGTGCATGTCCATGCATGCCTATGAAACACAGGAAAGGCCTTGAAATGGGTAGCATTTGACCTTTCAAGGGGATGCCACATTTCATCAGTTAAGCAGTAGATTGAGATTTTGCAAATTTTCCTTCCTGTGTTTCAGATGGTCTTATTGGATGTGGGAAAATTCACTGAAGAAAGGGTTTATGTTTGGAAGAGTGAGCACTAATGCAAACCAGGCTGCCAAAGAACTTGGTGGCTGGACACCTTCAAAGCTGAAGGTGGAGCATAAAATCACATGCTCCACCTTCAGCCGAAGCATAAAAAAACTCAAAGAAGCAATGGAAAGTTGGAAAATAGAATAGAATAGAATTCTTTATTGGCCAAGTGTCATTGGACACACAAGGAATTTGTCCTTGGTGCATATGCTGTCAGTGTACATAAAAGTACAGAGCCTTGGTAGTACAGTGGTCTAAGCACCCTGTTATTAACACAGCTGCCTGCAATTTACTGCAGGTTCGAATCTCGCCAAGGCTCAAGGTTGACTCAGCCTTCCATCCTTTCTAAGGTAGGTAAATTGAGGACCCAGTTGTGGGGGCAATAAGCTGACTTTGTATAAATATGCAAAAAGGATGAAGGCTATTGCTTAGCACATTGTAAGCCGCCCTGAGTCTCCGGCATATAAATCAAATTAAAAAAAAGAAAAAAAAGAAAAAAAATACATTCATCAAGAATCATAAGATACGACATTTAGTGATAGTCATAGCTTACTAATAAGCAATCAAATCATACTAGGAAACAAATAAAACTATATGAATTGTAGAGATACAAGCAACAAGGTTATAGTCAGTGGTGAAATGCAGCCGGCTCTATCCGGCTCGTGTGAGATGGTAGTGCTGGCAGCAGGTGGTTCGGTGAGCCGGTAGCAGGAGGCTCCACCCCTCAAAACTGGGTACATCATCACATCCTGGTTTTGACCTTCTGCGCATGTGCAGGAGGCTTTGTGCATGCGCAGATGACAGCACTCTCTTGAGTGAAGTGAGCACATATGCTGACGACAGCATGTGCACGAGTGCAGCGTCCGTGTGCATGGTGTGTGCACATTAATGAGCCAGTAGGAAAGGTAAGTGCATTTTACCCCTGGTTATAGTCATAAGTGGGAGGAGATACCATGTTTCCCTGAAAATAAGACATCCTCTGATAATAAGCCCAATTGGGCTTTTGAGCACATGCCCTAAAATAAGCCCCCCTGAAAATAAGCCCTTCC